GCAGCATGGACGGCACTGACCGGCCAAGCTGGACCCACGCAGCACTCAGACCCTGACGCAACCAGCCCGCTCAGACTTTCAGTCACCCGGTACCTCATTAAACTTTAAAAGGAGCTGCAGAAATAAAGTGAATTGTTGATATTTTAAAAAACCCAAATTAAACAGGAAGCATCACGCTGTCCCACAGACGAGCAGAAAGTAGCATGCTAAGCTTCCCCAAAAGCCCTATTTTAAAAAGTAAACTGCATACCACACGGCCTCCAAATCATCTGGATTTCATAAAACCTAACCACCACATGGAAGGCGAGTCAGGAACTTGACATCAAAACACGGCTCAGGGTTGCAGCAGCTGAGCCACACGCCAATTAAGACGGCAAGAGGACAGCGCCAAAGCCCAAGCCAACACTGCAGACAGAGGGCACAGCAGCACAGCCACAGGACCTGCAAGCGTGAACACGGGAGGGGTCCACCTCTCACCTGCGGCTGCGGGGGCTACGCCACGCCTGCAACCCAAAGGCAAGGAGCGGAGGCTTTGCCTGACGGCACCGTCGGCTCGGCCCACCACGGCGGAGCCCCGTGTGCCGCGGGCCACGCGGAGCGGCTCCAAGTGCCTCTGGAGGTCAACTGCCCCTGGGGACTCGAAAGTGCGTCGGCTCTGCCACAGTAAGTGAGGCAGGCCTGCACGCACAGGACCGCTGGCACACACGGGACGAGCACACCCTGCCAGGGGACGGGTGCACTAAGCCGACAGGCCCGCAGGTCAGCTGGACTCCGTGTCCCACGCCAGGCAGGTGCGACGCTGTTTCCCCCAAGACGGCTCCTCCACAGGCGTTCTCTCCGAGTCAGCTCCCTGCCAGCATCCCTGTGCTCACACTGGAATGCTGTCACCGGCTCCAACCTGCGCCCCACTGTCCCCCAGCCACTAGCGTTCCACTTACCTTCACGGCCATCTCAACCCTACAGACCCTGTCTCCAGCACAGGCCACCTCCTCGGCTGCTCCAGAGAGACCAGGACTCACTGTGAGTTTCCAGTCCATTAACTCATCTGAGAACTGCCACTCAATAAATATGCAACAGCACCCACAGTGACGCTGAAACTCCAGGGTAAACAGACAACGCCCTGCCCTCCAGGGCGCACCCTGCACCTACCTGCCGCTGGCTGCCTCTGGGCCATCTCCGGCCTCCCTGGAAAACGGCTACAACTAACTTACTGCCCCCTGCTGGGAATCCTGAGCGCCCACAGTAGCAGGGGTAAACGTCAAGCCACACTCTGGGGGCAGGTGTTTGCCACCCCACATCATCCGGTCCTGGCTCTGCCCCCGAAGCACGCCACCGCTAGGCGCACCCTGGGAGGCAGCACTTGGGTCCGTGCCCCCCTCCCAGGAGCCTGGAGTTCGTGGCCCAGCCTGGTCCACCTCTGGCTGCCGCAGGCATCTGGGGAATGAACACCAGATGGGACACATATCTGCCTCCCAGATTTTCAACTAAATAACAGTTTTTAGAAACTGCACTGTGCTCATTTTTGCCTCACCCAAACGAGGACAAGGCTCGCTCTGCCAGGCCCCACCTCCAGGGCCACCAAGTAACCCCGCGGCTGTTTTGGAGATGCCCTTACTGAACGAGTCAGCCCAGCCTCTGCCAACTGTCCCAGGGCCGGCCTCGTGCAGAACCAGCGGCTGTGCCGCGCGACCAGCCTGGCCCCACGCAGCCACGCGAGGCTCAGCGCTCCACCCCGGGACGGCCCTCTCCTCCGTGCCCTTCCTTCCAGCTGCAGCTGCAGAGTGTGTGCTCAGCACACCCTCACTGCCCTCCGTGCCACCGGATCCCAACAGCCGGCGGACACGGCTGGCAGTGCCCTCCGGACAGCGAGGGCTTTGCGCAGTAAGCTGGCTGCCTGGCACGTGGTGTCCAGTGGGAGAAGCAGCTGACCGGCTGAAACGGCTTCACGAGAGTCCAGCCTCTCCGTGGCTCGCGGCCTGCGAAGTGAGGCACTGCCGGCCTGGAGCTGCGTCTGGACTCCCCGTCAAAACTCGCTTTTCTCCCGCTTCAAGTGTATACACACTACTCACTCGGGGCGAATGTGGGAAGAGCAGAGGCGAGACCAAAACGAGAATCGCCCGCTGACAGGGAGGACCCGGCCTCCCTGTGTTGGGGGTTTGGGGCACAGCTCCTCTCCCCTGCCTGGGCGGGGCCGGGCCTCCAGGCACTCTGCCCTGCAGTGTCCAGTTCTAAGGGACTTGGGGCCTCATCCTCCTCCCCCTGGTGACCCTGTGGTGAGTGGGCTTCACGTGTGACTTGGAGGAGTGGAAGCGACCCCGTACTTAAGCTGGGCTCGGAGTGGCTGCGACGTCAGCCGTGCCCGCCCCCCAGCTCTGTCTGATGTCGACAGAGCTACGCTCACTGTCCTCCTCCTCTAATCCCATCCCCACCTGCAAATACTAGTGAGATGATCTCCCAGGTTTTTCGACACATCTTTCACATTCTCTCTCAGAAACAAGAAAACCACAGAGACTGGAAGACCATACCACGGAAATCTGTACTGTATCTTAAACGAGGCACTCATGTGCTCCTCTGAAGTACACACTAGTTTAAACACTGGCCACTTCCTTCATCAGGTACTATCCTAACCCTGGTAAGCCTAACGGAGCCCAGTGGGACAAGGCCCCGCACTGAAGCCCACCCTGCGGCTCCCGGTGGCAGCAGGTGCAGGTCCCCGCCTGGGCCGCAGACGCTCCTCCGGCTCCCGGCACCCGAGACGCGCTCTCCTGACGCATTCTGTGGTGTGGCCCGGAGAGGGGCCTGCCTCCCTCCAGGGCGGCCTCTGCGGGAGCCAGAGGGCACACGGCAGCTCAGGGCTGCAGGCCCCACGGAAGCCGAGTGACCAACAGGGCTGCTGGTGGGAGAGGTGACCAGGAGAGCTCTGGCTGGCAGCACGGGTGCTGCAGGTGGCCCAAGGCCAGGTTCGTAGAAGGCACAGCTCTCTGGTGACCGGTCCTGCTCCGGCACGGCCCCTCCCCGTTCGGACTCCTGGTCCGTGTTCCCCTCCCACCCAGGGCCACGGACAGGCAGTGCCTTCCCGTGGGCTCCCTGGGGAGCGGCTCTGCAGCTGTGGGGATGACGCTGCCCCTGGACATGCCGGGAAAGGCAGGGCTGGAGCCGCGCCCTTCCTCTGGCCGCTGGCCAGCGCTGCTGCAACGGCTGAACAAAGGCTGACTGTGGCTCCGCGCTCGGCATCCTGTCCTCACTGTCCACCTGCCCCGGCAGCCGGACAAGGACACAGGTCAACACTCACAAACAACCAGCGGCCACATGACATCAGAGGGGTGCGGGGGCGCCCAGCGGACCCTCCCTGCTGTGGGTAACACCGGTTCCTTCATGTGCCAGAGAGAAGGCCCGAGGCCCGAGAGGCCAGACGAGTCACACCGGGCAACATGCAGCGACTGATGAGGCAGCCCCTCCGTGCTGCTCCGGCCTCCAGCAGGGGTAGCTGATGCAAGATGAACAGGCAGCTCGAGGCGTCTGAGTGCGCGGACTCAGTCTGACCCCAGCAAGCGTTCACTCCCAACATCCCCAGGGCGCGGGGCGCCGCTTCCCGGAACCACAGAAGCCTGGAGCTCTGCGGCAATTCTGCACTGCGGGTGGGGACACAGGATCCAAGCCGGCGACCACCACAGGACAACCCTCTGAGTCAGAGCTGAGCCTCAGCGGCAGCCCCGCCCACAGCGCCCACCCCCGCAGCCCCAGGTGCTTCTACAGCCCCGCGTCAGTGCACCACTGCCTTGCCACTCCCAACCTCACTCCACGGCTGTCCAGACAAGGAGCAGACTCCTCCGCCTGAGCACCAGAGTGTGGACATCGGGAAGCCCTTCCTAGTGGGGCGCTCGGCTCAGGCCCTGCTCGCGGGGTCACTGCCCCCTCCCACAGACCTCCCTGTGCCCGTCTACCAATCACTCAGGTTCCGAGGACTAGCTGAATGCCACTTCTCTGAGCAAAGCTCCATGGTAAGTTATTTACACTAGATCTCTAAAAAAAAGCTAGAAACGATCTATTTATGGGGCCAGTGTTGTGGCACAGCAGGTAAAGCCACCCCTGAGAAGCCAGCATCCCACCTGGATGCCAGTTCCAGTCCTGGCTGCTCCCCTTACAATCCAGCTCCGAGGTAATGGCCTGGGAGAGCAGAAGACGGCCCAAGTCCTTGGACCCCTGCGCCCACGTGGGAGACCTAAATGAAGCTCCCGGCTTCGACCTGGCCCAGTCCTGGCTGCTGCAGCCATCTGGAGAGTGAACCAGCAGATCAAAGACCTCTCTCTCCCTCTCCCTCTCTCTGTAACTCTTATAAATAAATCATAAATACATAAATCTTTTTTAAAAAGAAATCACATTTGCCCCATTGGAAATACCTATGCTTCCCCAAGCTAAAATTCATTACAAACATTCTTGAGAATCAACCTCGCTTGAGAGCATTGTGAATAAATAACTCCCAAGAGTCACAATGTTAACTTCTTTCAACTCAAGAAAAGATTCGTGTGGTTTTAAACCCTCCTGCCACGAACTGCACGGTAGAGGGACCCGGGACCCAGGCCCCAGGGTGGGGAGGGTGGGCCAGCGGTCAGCACCCGAGGACAGAGCCGAGGTTAACAGCACAGTTCTCAATTGAAGAACAGCCCTAGAACCAAGTTCTTAAACAGGAACTTAGCTTATGACACCAGCATCTGGCAGAGGCGAAGACACTCCGTCCCACACCCACTGGGCGGCAGTGCCTGGACGCCAGGGCCCAGAGTCCTCTCCGTGTGCTGACCGAGCTGTGCCTGTCAGTGCTGTCTGCTGGGCAGCACTGCTCCCTCGCAAGGCCTGAAGTCACCCTCACTGACCCAAGAGCACACGTCCCTCCCCAAAGACAGGACGGAGCCCACGCCTTACGGCAGGCAGCAGGGCACCGACCAGCTCTGACCCAGGACTCGAGGCCGGCCGAGCGCCGTGCCACCACCATCACATCCTACCTTTGCCGCCACAATGCTCAGGCCCATTCCGTTCTGCTTTTTCAAGGTCACAGTGATGATTTCCGGTTCTTTCCTCAGAGGCTGAGCCTAAAAGATAACCACAGAGGTGACTGCCTGACAGCAACAGCAGGGCCGCACACCCCGAGCGGCTCCCGGTCTGCTCAGGCCCACGGCAGGGCCGCACACCCCGAGCGGCTCCCGGTCTGCTCAGGCCCACTGCAGGGCCGCACACCCCGAGCGCCTCCCGGTCTGCTCAGGCCCACGGCAGGGCCGCACACCCCGAGTGCCTCCCGGTCTGCTCAAGGCCACAGAGTGGAGACACCAGATGTGCTTCAGTACTGATCTGAAAAACCCAATCACGACTCGACTCAAGTCTCGAAGACAAATCCAATCGTCAGTGCTCTGAGAACTTATTTTTTAAATAAAAGTATTTGGTTTTGTCTGTTGTTGTTGTTGTTTGTTCTTAGAATTATTTTATTTATTTGAAAGACAGAGTTACAAAGAGAAGTAGAGGGGCCGGCGCCGTGGCTCGCTTGGTTAATCCTCCGCCTGCGGCGCCGGCATCCCATGTGGGCGCCCATATGAGGTGCCGGCACTGCAGGTGGCAACTTTAACCCGCTGCGCCACAGTGCCGGCCCTAGAACTCAGGACACAAGCACCTGACACAGAGCTGAAGACGCCATTTGTGTCGAAGGCATCCCACATCAGAAGGCCTGGGTTCGAGTCCCAGCCCCACTCCTGAGTCCAGCTTCCTGCCAACGCACACCCTGGAGGCAGTGCCGATGGCCCAGCACTCGGGTCACCACGCGTGGGGGAGCCCCGACGGTGGTCCCACCTGCTGCAGACATACACCATGAGCCAGAGGATGGGACATTTCTGTCTGCCTGCCCTGTTTTATACCAAAAGAGGCAATTTAAGCTTATTTGAGGCAGCCTACAGGAAGACAGCGAAAGACAGTTCTACCACCGAAGAAACAGCAAGGCAGCAGACACGGCTGCTCCAGGAGCGGTGCGGTCCGGGAGCTCCGTGAGGCGGGGAGCGAGCCTGCAGCGGAGCAGGCCGGGCCTCCAGCAAGCCTCGGACGATGACAAGGAAGTGAGATGAGCCACCGTCGGCCACCGCACGCCAAAGGGCACACGGAATGAGAGTCAACGGTGACACTCGCAGGGCAGCTCCGCTAACTGCGCACACGAGCCTGGAAGCGCCCGCTCCACGGTGCTGATGACAGGGAAGCAAAGCAAGCCTGCAAAAATACACTTGAAGAACCAGAGAATTCGGTGACTTTTAAAACCACCACAACCTCTAATCTGAGAAGTCTGAGAATAAACTCGAGAGACAAGAATCACTGTGCATCTAAGGTGTGTCTTCTACGCAGTCCGCACAGCACTGCTGCTGGGTGGGCATTTTCCAAGTGGTGAGGGGCGCTCCCGGGCCACCGCGTGCCACACGGCACTGCCCAGGCTCAGGTCCGGCTCTGCCCCACGCCAGCTCCCTGCTAACGTCCCTGGGAGGCAGCAGTGAGGACTCCCGTGGCTGGGAACCTGCCACCCACGGGAGATCAGGACAGAGCTCCACACCTGGCTCCCACACGGCCCAGCCCCAGCTGCTGCCGGCCTCCGGGAAGTGAGCCAGCAGATGGAAGCTTTCTCTGTCTCTCTCCGTCAAATAAATTTTAAAAATGAAGTTGTTACTGTTCCTCGGGACCTGACAAGCAGCTGCGAGTGAGGTCAGTAAGAGGTGACTGCAGACACGTCCACCTTATCAGTGAGCCACGACGCTGCGTCTGGGGCAGCAAAGCAACCGTCACTAACTCACTCTTCGTAGATGCTCTGCATGTGTCCACAGCGAGTGTGCAGGGAGGCCAAACTACACTGCCGTGGATTTGGCGAGGGGCACCCTCGGTTATGGCCCTGTGGCATCCGTGTCACAGGAGCAGGCTGAGCCCCGGCTGCTCCGTGTCCATCTGGCTCCCTGCTAGTACGCCAGGGGAACAGCGAAGATGGCACGAGTGCTTGGGGCTGTCACCCACACAGGACACTGAGGCAGGAGCTCCTAGCTGCTGGCTTTGTACTGGCCCAGCTGGTGCAGCAATTTGGGGAGTGAATGAGCAGACGGATCCCTCTAATTCTGCCTTTCAAATAAATTAAAAATTCCCCTAGAATGTATGAAACCAGAAAAAGATACAAAATATTAGTAAAATAGAAGACGGCCCAAGTCCTTGGGCCCCTGCACCCACATGGGAGACCCACAAGATGCTCCTGGCTCCTGGCTTCGGATCGGCACAGCTCCGGGCATTGTGGCCATCTGGGGAGTGAACCAGCAGATGGAAGACCTCTCTCTCTGTCTCTACCTCTCTCTGTAACTCTTTCAAATAAATAAAAAATGAATCTTAAAAAAAAACTTCTATAATAAAATCTGTTCAAGTTACCTTATTAATGTTTGTAAAACGCTTATTAACATTAAGCCTGTACAAGAATGAGCACAAACTGTTTTAAAAAGCACTGTTTACAGGCAAAACCTCACTGATATCTGTGAGAAAAATACACATGATACACAGCATGGTTTTCCAGTTTTCTAACAAAACCGGGTTTCCAGCCGTCAGGTCAGAGCGCGTCAGGTCCTGCAGAGAGAAGGCACGTCTCCCCCGGCCACCTCCCGAAGCCCTCACAGCCCGCACGATACTTGCCAGCTCCGTGTTCTCACGCACAAGGTAACTTCCGTAGTCCACACCTTCGAAGTAGATCGTCCAAGTGCCCGGCGAGCGCGTGTGAGGAATCAGCCTGCAGAACCCTGAGGAGGAACCGGGCGAGTCGCGTCAGGACACAGCTTCCGCAAGAGGAATCCTCAGTGGTCTTAACACCTGCCGACAGACCGCGTCTTCTCACGCTCAATCTGCATTCCCTCGGAACGTGGCCTACCAGACGTGCACAGCTGGTCCTGCTTTGGCCCAGGGTAATTCAGCACAAGGAGAAACGCTTGTCCCTGCTTTCATAGGAAACTGCTATGTTGCTTTGCGGCTGCTGTTGATGCGACTGGACCGGGAGACCCTCATAACATCCAGGGAAGGAAGGTGGGCGGGAGCTGGCCAGGGACACCGCAGGGCCGCCCGCCTGCCCCACCCCAGGGCGGGGAAGGGACTCATGTCCACTTGCCGCCTGGACAGGAGTTCTGAAGTCAGCCAGTCCCTTCTCATCACATGGTCCAAATTATTTTGCAGGTTTGCTCATTTAAATTTCTTGCGAATAAACTTCAGAATCATTTCATAATGTACTAGAGATATCTCTGGGGTCTGCGTCAGAGCCCAGTGAAACCTGTCACAAGGGAGCCTTCCCACGCAAGGTGCGTCACTCTCTCAGTCAAACCTGCACCGTCAGTCTCTGACAAAGCGGTGTCACCCAGACCTAGCGTGAGCACCCTGGGCGGCAACCTGCTCCGCATGGCCCTCCCACGGGAACGATGGACGGGCTGGCCTGGGCGCCCTGCGCACCGGCCCAGGAGGCCTCATCCACTCCTGACTGCACGTCTTGGATACTTACAAAGTTTGCTTGTGGTACAAGGAAAAGGAGATGTCAAAAAACGTATTGTTTACATATGGACACAGAAGTGGTTTTACTTTTTAAATCACTGTTTAGGTTCGCTGTCACTCAAATATAATCGACAGCTTGGATCTTAGCCACGTTTCAGAGAAGCACAACCTGACCATGACTTTGAGGCCAACAAACGTGAGCCGGCGCCGGCTTCCCCAGTGCAGGAATGCTGCCCCAGAGAGGTGTGCGTTCAGACTGGTTCACAGCCTCCTCTCACACAGCTCCATTGTGTTCAAACAAAGGGCTGTATGTGAGAGCACAGTGCTCTACTCAGCCCACGAAGAACTGAGCAAGCACGAGGAACATGATGTCACTGGAGAGAACAATTCCTTCTGAGTCTTCCACAGCCTCCCGTGCTCAAAGCAACGGTGACCAGCACCACTGTCATCCGACACACCACAAACAAGGCCGTGACGAAAGACCACAGGTGTCCTCAAATCTGTCCCCGCGAGACTGTCCTCATCTGCACGCTGGCAAACACCCACGCCGCGGCGCACACTGTGAAGCCGGCAGTGCCCGTGCCTGCTGTGTGGCACACACCCGCGTCAGACCACTACGCCAGTCTCCTGCAGCCTTACCTGCCCCAGGCTCATTCAAAGAGCTACTGAGCGAGCCCAGCCTCGCCTGCCTTCAAGGAGCTCAGGCCGCAGCACAGGAACCACGGGCCAGGAAGAGGCGAGGTCTGGCGTGGCACAAGGACGGCCGCCCAGCAGGAGCCGCGTCTCACATGGAGACAGCGCAAGGCCGGCGAGGGGAGCAGGCCTGGAGGGAGAGGACGGCTCGCCGCACGTGGACCCCAACCCTGCGCTGACAGAGGCAGTTCCTGCTGGGACACAGAGCGATCCACTACCTGGGAAGAGGGACTCTGTCGGGAGGGCCTCAGCACAACTGGCAGGTGTGTGGCCGTCCCAGGCGTGAAGCTGGGCGCTGTGGCTGCTGACCTGCTGGGATGTGGTGCCAGAAAGACGCCGTTAAGCAGCCACAGGTAGGCAGGTACGGAAGGATGGCAGGGGGCGTGTCCCAGAGGCTCCTCCAGGCCAGGGTCGGGATGGGTCTAACGCTCAAGGACAGGCTCGGGCCACTCCAGAGGGACTCCAGCGCTCCCTCCTTCCCCACGCGGTCACAGGAGTCCCGGTGCAGCCCGCAGAACTGAGAGCTACCGCAGGGAGACGCACGCCCGTCTCAGCACCAAGGACTGACGCAGGCTCGGCCAGCAGTGCTCCGGGAAGGTGGAGGGCCTCGTGACAAGAAGCCTTTCTGAAACCAGTTTTTGCAAAACTATCAAAAACTTCAAAGACGCCGCCGAGGCCACAGATCACACCCCGCGGAGACTGAGACACGCACTGACGAGGGCCTCATGCTCACTGTACTCGGTGGGCGTAAACTCTGGTCTAATTCAAGAGCTGCTACTTCAGGAGCAAGGGTGGTACTTTCAGTCAACACACATCAGAAAGCAACTGTGGCAAAGGTTACGAAACAGAGCCAAAGGACACCCTGAACTCACAGCCCACGCGCAGGACCCCGTGGACGCCCACACTGAGCTGCGTGCTGGCCTAGCCGTGGCCATGGCAGGCCCACACTGAGCTGCGTGCTGACCTAGCCGTGGCCATGGCAGGCACGTAGGGAATACCAGACGAAGGGGTATCTGTCTCCTGCTTTTCAAACTGAAAGAGGTAAAACTTACAAAGGCGGGCACAGTGCACACGATGCAGGAGGCTGGCGGGGAGGCACCACGGCAGCCGTGGCCCCCGCACCTGTCCACGCCCACCCCACAGCGAGATGCTGACAGAGGGAGTGTGCGGACAGGGCCCAGATCAGACCCGGGCAGGCTGCTCCCGAGGCGCACGCAGACCCAGCCTAGGCCCACTGCAGGGGGTGTCACCTGAGGCTCAGGAGACACCGGCACGGCAGCAGCAGTCCAAGGACTGGCCATGGGTGCAGCCCCGGGAGGCAGGGCCGGCGCCTCTGCAGCATCACAGCACACCACGCGGGCTCCGCGCCGCCGCCGGGACCGCGCATCGCCACACGCACAGACTTCAGGCAGGACGCCCAGGCAGAGCCCAGGCTCGGGCCGCTCTCGCGCCAGGACCGCGCATCGCCACACGCACAGACTTCAGGCAGGACGCCCAGGCAGAGCCCAGGCTCGGGCCGCTCTCGCGCCTACCTCTCTGGCACAGGGGGTCCAGGAACTCCTGCAGCCCGCTGGGGATGTTTCTGACCACGTCGCACGAGTAGCCGTCTTCCGGCAGCAGGAACGGCAGCTGCAGGTCGGGGTCCTCCTCCAGCCGCACGTCCCGCCCGTCGCTGCGGGCCAGCTCGTCGGCCGTGTTCTCAGCCACGGCCACCACGTTCTCTATGAGATCCTGTGTGCGAAACAAACGCGGACCACAGAACAGCTCAGGACCACGGCCTTAGCACACTGGGCACGGAGGCCCGGGCAGTGAGCTCCCCAGCGGGGGACAGAGCTCCACGAACCAGGCGCAGACAGCACGCAGCTTCACTGCAGAGCAACCACTCAGCTGAAGAACACGTTTCCTGCCATCTCCGAAGCAGCCTTCTCCCACACAACCCTCCAGCACCTCCAATAACCACGTTTTGTAGGATGTTTAAACACAGACACGGAATGAAGCGCTGTACTCTTCCCAGCTCGGATGCGTCGTGCCCACAAGTTACTTCTGAATCATGGGCTCTGAGCCATTTTTGTCTAAAAACATTGGACTGAAATGTGACGCTCACAAATCCTAAGCGCACAGTTCAGTAAAAGCCACGCAACCCTCACTGGCCCTGCCCCCCTGCTGAGCAAACAGGCACAGCCCGAGGCCGCCCTGCCCCTCCCACCCACAGCCACACCTGCCCTGCAGGCTCCTGGCCAGGGACAAGGGAAGTTGTCCTTGAGACGGAAGCACAGGGTGCACACTTTTCAATTCTGTGCCAACTCTGCCACAAAACCCACGCCAGACGCTGGGCAAACTAAACACTCCTCACGGGCAGCAGAGTGCAGGCCAGGCTTTGGCTGTTTTCTGTATGTCTTCAGCTGGCATTTAACTCTACACTGGAGGTCTTTCTGTCCATCCACCTGCCTCCCTGTAAGTGGAAATGCCAACAGTGGCACACCTGGGGGACTGGGCTTCTCTCTGGACACTCCTCACAGGACACCAGCACGCCACTCCAGAGGAAGCTGTGGGTTTACAGGCTGCCCTCACTTGGTCTGGGAGGCAGACACTGCAGGTGCACACAGGCCACGTGGCACAGCCACGGGACCCTGTGGCCCACTGGCCCTGAACTCCGCCGCGCCTCCTCTGTTCTGCTGCTTCCAATGCTTTTTCCAGAACCTCACTGCTGGGGCCAGCGTCAGCAGAGCCGGCGTCCCGTATGGGCCCAGCCCCCTGCTGATGCACCGGGGAGAGCAGTGGAGGATGGCCCCAGTGCAAGGGCCCCTGCGCCTCCGTGGGGGACCCAGAAGAGGCTCCTGGCTCCTGGCTTTGGATTGGCCCGGCTCCAGCCAATGCGGCCATCTGGGGAGTGAACCAGCGGACTGAAGAACACTCTGTCTCTTTGCCTCCACATCTCTGTAACTCTGCCTTTCAAATAAATGAACACATCTTTGGGGAAAAAAAAAAAAAAAAAGAACCCACTTCCCTGAACTGAATAATCCCTTAGACTTACGTGGCTCCCACTTCTCACCCTGAACAGACGTCACAGTGGTCTCCTAAGTCACTCTCAGATACCCCTTCATCCCATTACCCAGGCAACACGTCCCACCACGTGAGGGCGCGGCGACCCACTCACCGCTGGGATAAAAGGCTCGTCGGGCGCACAGTGGTAGTTCTGCAGCAAGGCGTGCAGCTGCAGGGAGTTCAACTTAAAGCAGGTGCTGTTCACACTGGGCACGTCCTCGGGCGCATACTTATCCATGGTGAGCAAAGTGGTGGCCTGCGGGAGGACACATGACCCAGGCACCACAAAGTCACAACATCTTCGTGCAACATACGTGAGCTTGTAACTTGAAACCGCATGTGTTACGTATTCCTGCTAACCCTGCACATCATTTCAACGGAAAACCTGCCTGGAAGGAATTTCAGATCCCTCTTGAGTTCATGGAACAAGTGTTCCCCCTCACGCAGCGTCCAACCATTCTCTCTGGAAGTGGGAGCGCGCACTGCAGGGTGGAGAGCCCCCCCACAGGAAGCTTCGTGACCAGCCGGCCAGCGTCTGACGCCACACGTCTTTAACGGTGGCGAAAGATCAGGAAAGAAATCACACCCCCAGGGCAGGTGCCGTGCTGCGGTGGGGAGGGAAGTCACTGCTCAGCAGACCCGCACCCCATCCCAGAGCCCCGGGGAGCCCAGGCTGCCCTGCAGCGGAACCCGCTCCCTGCTAACGAGGATGGCAGGCAGCAGACGGCGGCCCCTGAGAGAGACCCAGGTCGAGGTCCTGGCTCCTGGCTTCAGCCTGACCCAGCCTCAACTGCTGCAGGCATCGGGGAGTGAACCAGCAGACGGGGATCCCTCTCCTCCCCTCCCTGTGTGTGTGTGTGTGTGTGTGTGTGTGTACGCGCGCACGGGCGCACTCATTAATCTTTTTAAAAAATTATACGTTATTTTTAAAACTATCCCAGCTTTTAGGGCTGTAAACAACTTTCTCTAATTGGAAATCAACAGATGTTTCGACAGCTAAAAAACTTCCTCTGGGCTGGTGAAAACCTCAGAACGTGACCCGGCATTCTCTATTTTTAGGTCACGAATTCTCTGAACTCTTACTCTCAACATCAGGCCCGGGGAAGGACACTGCTGCGCTGTGGCTCCCGTCTCCTGTGGAAGCCGCACCCTGGAGCCTCACGGCTGATCTTCCCGCACACAGGGCGACGGAAGGGGCCATCCAGACCCAGTCAGCGGACCCAACTCCAGGCACGCGTGCACACGAGCACACAGAGCCACACACACACTGAGCACACATAGTGTACGTGCACACAACACACAGAGCACACACACATAACATGCACTGAGCACACATACAACACAGAACATACACGTGCACACACAACACACACGCACCAACATACGTGCACACAGGCAGCACATGCATGCACACACAGCATACACACAGTGCACAGAACATGTGCGTGCACACTCATCTGCAGCCACCTACAGAGCACACGCACACACAGAGCACGGGGGGGGGGGGGAGAGTGTGGGGGGAGGGGAGTGGGAGGGGGAGAGCGCCGATGCATCTTCAGGCTGAGGAGGCCCAGCAGCCGGGGCTGGGGAGGGAGAGGGGAGAGCCCCTCCTTCGCTGGCCTGCAAGGGACACCCCCCCCACCCTGCCCGCCTTCTGCTCCCCACTGCTAGAACAGGGCTCTTGGAAGGCCCGCTCACGTGGCACCGGCGCGTCTGCCCGCACTGGAGACCTCACCGCCCACGGCAAGCGCCCGAGGAGGGAGCGTGTCGTCTCGGCCGCGGCACGGGAACGCCCTCACGCCGCCGCGCCCAAGCACACGACAGCGGGTGGGGCTCGCGGCACGCACCTGCACAATCCTGCTCAGGTGGCAGTCGGCCGCCAGCTCCAGCCCCTGCTTCTCGGCCCAGGCCTCGATGTGCCCCAGCTGCTGGCGGATGATGGCGCCCCAGTAGTGGGAGCACAGCCCGGAGTCGGGGTCAGTGACCAGTCTGTTGAACAGCCACATGTTGATGAAGTGGAAGAGCTGCGAGAAGAGCTGGATGGTGAGCGCAGCGTTGACCCTGCAGCGCCGCAGCAAGGACATGGCGCCCGTGAGCGTGTGCAGCACGTCGTCTGGGGAGACAGGGCAGCAGGCGGCGGCCGCGTCACCCAGCAGGGCACGCGTGCAGGCCATCACCAACACCCCCCTCGGCCACGCAGCCGCCCGCGACACGTCCGACTGCACTCTTTAAAGTGGGACTATTCATGAACAAAGCACACTGAGCTGACAGATCCAGTAAGCAACCGCTCGTCTTCATCAAAATCCCTCCTTCCACCAGGCGACGTCAGCGCCAGTGGAGGGGAGAGGCGGGAGGGCCCTCACCTATGCTGGGCCTCTGCAGGCTGCTCTCCTCGGGGTCGTCCAGGAAGGCCGGCATGTAGTTGTTGAGCTCTGACTGCAGACAGTGGACCAGGTACCTGCAGGTGCGGGGGCAAGGGTGACGCGCTCTGCACTGCCAGACACATCGCTGCATGACATGGGACACAGCCACACGTGACGCAGAGGCCTCGACGTGACAGACACGTCACGCAACATGAGACGTGTCACACCATGTGACAGATGGCTCTCACACTGCCCCCGGAAGCCGACCCCCGGCACAGGCCGTCCCCCCACCCCCACGGACGCGCTGCTTACTTGAAGGCCATCTGCACCAAGTGCGCCAGGACGTCCTGGGCGTCCAGCGTGATGCGGCTGAGGTCCCGGTCCTGCTTCACGAAGTTGAGGAGCTCAGAGGCGTTTGCCATCCAGAAGGCCAGCGCCCCCGCGATGTTCTTCTGCTTCTGCAGACAGAACACACTGCCGTCAGCCGCGCGGGACGGGCCATGCCCCAGCACAAGCAGGAGTGCGCTCGAAAGTGCTCAGGATAGACCAGTACCTCCCCACGCTCACCAAGGAGCTCACCACAGATACCAGATATGTGCCAGGAATCTGCGTGCACACATAGCAACAGGAGGTCAACAACCCCCGTGCTACGTCTCAGGAGTCACGCACATACACAAATGGATGTAATGAGCTGGGACTCGGTGGAGATGGCGATACCGAATGACACCACAGCGGACTGCTGGCCGTGCATTATCTGGTAATCTGTGCGGTACACACGTGACCCCGGGCACCCACAGGCACCGTGATGACTTGCAGACTGCTGGTCGTGCATTACTGGTAATCTGTGCGGTACACACGTGTGACCCCTGGGCACCCAGAGCCACCCAGACACACTTGCAGTCGCGGCTCAGACCCCACGCGACTCAGTCTCAGGTACTGCTCTGTCACAGTCTCTCCCGACCACAGGTGCAGGCCAGGCAACCTCAGATGAGACCCGAAGAATAGGACCCAGGATAAATAACAGAGAGAACAGACGCCTGTCATGTCACATCCGCACGGCAGCGCATGAAGCAGAGATTATGGGATGCCCGAGCGAGCTGCAGTCAGGAGGGTTTAGTGCTGCACGAGTGTTAGGTGCTGCTCGGCCGCTGCCGGAGGGCTGTGGCTGGCACGGAAGCAGCGTGGCAGGCAGCTAAGCCAACACAGCTGGGTCAGCCTGCAGTGTCCTACCTGATCAACCTGGTCTACTTCCTGGAGAAAACAGACGAGGGGAACCAGGCAGAACGAGAGAAAGAGACTTGTAAACAATCATGACAGTTGAAAACATCACAACACCAACACGAAGGCACAACATGGAGGCACGACAGGTACTTCCGCTATCCCCAAATTACGTCTCCATCTTACGGTTCCCAACACAGAACACACACCAGCGTACGCGCTTCACACTGGCACAGTCGCGACGTGGACTTGCGATTACGTGACGGTGCACTAACAACACACGCACGCAGACTGGCCTCGCGCAAAGACCCGCCAGCAAGGGCTTCTCGACCCCTGGGCGACGCCGTGCGCCTGCTGCTCGGAGCCCAGAGCCCATCCCTCCGCGCTCAGCAGTAGGAACGAGAGGGCCCAGCGCAAACGGTCAAACACACACTGAGAAGGCGGCGTTGAGAGCTCACGAAGAACTCACACGCGCTCGTTTCTGGGGTGCGGTCTGATGGCTCACTATCGCGGCTCTTTCCCGCTACCACCAGACGCCTCTGACTGCACACCCGACCCCCGTCTGGAAGACTTAATTTGGGTGATGCTGACTTCACTGACGAGCTCCAGTCACTGAGGGGAAGCCTGCCACAGGCGCCGGACGCCCGGAGCGCCACACCGAGACAGACACGAGCACCCAGACGGGACAGGAGACACACGAAGGCTCTCGAGACGACTGAGGAGCGCGTGTTTGTTTGCAGAACACGTACACACGAGTAACCAGGTGGCGCCCACCGAGGCGAGGCTGCGCGCTCTGCACTGCCTGAGCCGGCATCGTAACCTGACCCAGCTCCTCGCCCGTCACTCACTCCAAGGTGAGAGAGCGCGTTCTCGGAGTTCTGGCCGCTACCAAACGATTCTGAGGGAATGAAAGACGTCCGGGTTCCTCCGAGATGAGATCCCGCTGGCGTCGAACCGTGAGACTTGGAGCCACACGGCGGGAGGCGGACACGCGCCTCGGCAGAAGCTCAGCCTACGCAGGCTCGGTGCAGTGTTCCCCCAGCAGTGCCCTGGCTGGACACGCTCCTCACGGGTGAGGAAGGACACTCGTCACCGCCGTATAAACACGACTAAAAACCCGGCTTCGACCCCGAGCGCCACAGCGGGCTCAGGAGAAGTGACGGCCAGGCCTGGCGGCAGGGGCGGCGCCTGACCGCGCGTGGAAACCTTCCAGAAGCTTCCAGTGGGGGTGGACTGCACTCCACGCCAGGGAACTGTCACCAGGTGGACTCCGTTCTCACTCTGCAACTCCATCTCAGAAAACGAGTTCAGAACAATTCCTCAGGAATTCCTAACTACGCATTTCTCCTGTACCACTCAGGGAAGTTTTACAATGAGAGGCAATAAAGAGACACGGCTGAGCCGGCCTCTCAGCCCCAACTCACCTGGATGACTCCTTCCATCATGCTCACCATCTTGTTGACGATGGCAATGACTTTGTGGGTGCGCTCGGCGGGGCTGGCGTCAGGTCTGTACTGGCTGGACAGTACGTACCGGCAGGCCATGTACAGCACGTACGTAGGCGACAGCTTGAAGTGGACTGTAGAACTATTGGTATAATTTATAATGGCAGACAAGAATGAATCTTCAGCTATGGAAAGATTTCAAGAAAGAAAAAGGACAAAGCACCGTGAAAATCCGAGGGAGAACAAGCGGGCGGGAGGCACTGCGGGGTCTCCACTACTCACAGCTCTCCCTGAACTCAATGCTCGCAGGCAGCAGCAGGTCCAGCCCCGGAGCCTCCTGAGGTCTAGAGGAAGAAAGCGGACATCAGGGGACCACAGTGCGCGGGCAGCCCGGGCAGCTCTGCACCACTGCAACGGAACGCAGCACGAGGCCCGGCCTTCGCCTGCGACCTGCTGACAGGTGTGATCCTACCACAACCCTCACGGCTAGCTCCCCGGGCAAGTTCCCCACCACGGCAGCAGATGGAACACACGATTCTGGATTATTAATGAACACCCTGCCTAGCCCTGAGATCAGACTCCGCGCACCTGCGCTCACCGGGGCTCGGGTCGCAGTGAAACCACACCACTGAGAGGCACAGGAAAGCTACACCGCGTGCAGCTGGACAGTGATCCTCCCGAGAGCACCCACTCTGCTCTCTACCTCGGCCGCTCGGTCCTGCGCCTGTCAGCACTCCCAGGGACAGGTGCCTTAAGACACTCTCTCCTTCATGTTTCGTAGGTCCTTTCCAACACTAACACTCGGCGCGACACTGTTCCAACAGGAACTGTCAGGAACAGGAAGACCGGCCCTCAGCACGGCGTGCGTACCGTTCATGCATCTGGGGTTTAGGATCAGAGAGTTCAAGGGGAGGGCACATCTCAACCAGCGAGCTACACCCACTGTGGGCCACGGTGCACACTGCTTAGTGGGAGTCCTCTCCAATCACAGCACACGTGCACGGACGTGACACCAGACACAAGGCAACATGGGACCCCGTGCTGTGCTTCACAGGGAATTTTCAGAAGGCGCTTCCAAGCAGACAGACTTCCCAGAGCGTGCAAGGCAATTACAAGTCCAGTTTAGATCTTAGCAGAGTCATGTTTTCTCCAGACAAGACTCAGGTTAAACAGCCTTCCGGCATGCGATTAGGACTTCAAGCCATTTAATTATTATTCTAAGTCAGTTCACCACGAGCTGTATTTTGTGTCTATTTATGAAACACCAAACAGACAAAAGGTTAGCCTCCTTAAGATTTCAGTTCTGGCGTAGCGGGTAGAGCCACCGCCTGCAGCGCCGGCATCCCATATGGCACTGGTTAGAGTCCCGGCTGCTCCACTTCTGATCCAGCTCCCTGCTGTGGCCTGGGAAAGCAGTAGAAGATGGCCCAAGTCCGTGGGCCCCTGCACCCACGTGGGAGACCTGGAAGAAGCTCTGGCCGTTGCAGCCATCTGGGGAGTGAACCAGCAGATGGAAGACCTCTCTCTGACTCTGCCTCTAACTCGACCTTTCAAATAAATAAATAAATCTTAAAAAAAAAATCTCCATCTTTGGAGCAGGCATTTGGTGCTGTGGTTTAAGGTGCAGTTCGGGACACCTGCCTCCCATCTATCCTAGTGCCTGCATGCAAGTCCCGGCTCAACTTCTGGGGGAGGCAGGTCACGATGCAAGTCTGCGGGTCCTTGTCCTTCAAGTGAGACCTGCGAGCAGTCCAGGGCCCCGGCTTTGGCCGGGTCAGTCCAGCCCCAGCTGTTGCAGGCACCTGGGGAGTAAGCCAGTGGATGAAAGAGCTCGCTCTCCCCCTCTTCTGAATACTGAACTGAAAATTAAATCATGAAGATTACAAGAAACACACACTGGAGTGAGATCTGTCAGGCTAAACGTTAACGACCTCAGACCGAGGCCGACATTCACCGGCTGAACACACACACCCCCGCCGTCATCCAAGCATAGGATTCCAAGCTGACCATCTCGTCTATGATTTAACAATTTGGATTTGATTCAGCAACTGAGGAGAACAAAGATACTCTTTAAGATTTATTTACTTGAGAGACAGAGTTACAGACAGACATCTACTGGTTCACTCCCCAGATGGCTGGAGCTGCGCCGATCCAAAGCCAGGAGCTTCCTCCAGGTCTCCCACGTGGGTGCCGGGCCCAAGGACTTGGGCCACCTTCTGCTGCTTTCCCAGGTGCACCAGCAGGGAGTTGGACTGCAAGTGGAGCAGCCTCGAACCGGTGCCCACATGGGATGCTGGCGCTGCATGCCGGGGCTTTAACCCGCCATGCCACAGCCCTGGCCCCAAAGATACTCTTTTCAACAAGATATTTAAATGCTCAATTATTTTAGCCTGTTTCTCTGGCACTGCCATATTGAGCCGTCTTAAACTGAAGGCAGGCCGTTGATTTTAGTTTGCTATCCCACAAAACGAACCTGTACAAAATGTTCCTACTGTTGGCTCCATCATCTTAAATTTGGCAAAAACGAGGAGCTTACATCTTTACTGGAAAAACAAAATCTCTCAGCGGCAATCAAAGTCACTTCTGTCCTCCCAAGATGCTGTCCTTGGCTAGAGTCAGTGTTCGTGGGGTTCATTTCTCCTGTGAACCCTGCAGGGCTTATCCCAGCACCCGCACGTGGAGACAGAGCCCGAGGCGGGTGGGAGGCCGCGGCCGCCTGTCGCGAAGGCAGTCTACAGCTCACGAACGCCTCGCCGGGCCTGTGCGGAACAAGCACCCCTGGGAAACCCAATTACACCACGTGCAAAAGCCTCCTCCTGACACCCAGGCAGCCACCACGCGGCCGCCCAGGCGCTCTGGCCACGCACTAGACTCCACAGTCCTCACAGCAGCGACCTGTCACCCTGGGGTGCCCCACCAAAAACAAGCACAGGCGCACGAACACAGAACCGACAGTCCAGCCAGCAAAAGTCCGTCAGCAGAGCGTGCACACACCAGCACTCAGCGGAGGTCAGACCCGGGAGCTCCCAGGACCGCTGTGGGACACAGCGCCCTCTGCTGGGCGTCAGCGACTAAGGCCTGCCTCTCCCGGCTCCAGGAGTTCTCCCTCCAGCTCCAGCTCCACACGTCCCCCCCCACCCCGCCCCCTGCCCCCGACCTGGTTCTCCCTCCAGTTCCACACGTTCCCCCCCTACCCGGCTCTCCCTCCAGCTCCACACGTCCCACACGCCCCCCCCCCCCGTTCTCCCTCCAGCTCCACACGCCCCCCCCCGTTCTCCCTCCAGCTCCACACGTCCCCCCACTCTCCCTCCAGCTCCACACGCCCCCCCGCCCGGCTCTCCCTCCAGCTCCACACGTCCCACCCCCCCCCCGTTCTCCCTCCAGCTCCACACGCCCCCCCGCTCTCCCTCCAGCTCCACTCGTTTTGCCCCCCCGCCCGGCTCTCCCTCCAGCTCCACACGCCCCCCCCCCCCCGCGTTCTCCCTCCAGCTCCACACGCCCCCCCATTCTCCCTCCAGCTCCACACGCCCCCTGTCCTCTCTCCAGCTCCACACGTCCCCCCCCTGCTCTCCCTCCAGCTCCACACGCCCCCCCCCCGCGTTCTCCCTCCAGCTCCACACGTCCCCCCCGCTCTCCCTCCACACGCCCCCCCCCGTTCTCCCTCCAGCTCCACACGCCCCCCGCTCTCCCCCCACGCTGAGAGAGGCCTCCTACCTGCCTTCGTGCCTGCGCTGATCCTGCTGCTCCGGCCGCATCATGGGTCTCACCAGGCCTCGCTCCACCGTGCCGGAAGCAGAGGGGGCTCTGTCGCCGTCCAGTCTGCCCGTGCTCTGCGACAGGAGGGTAGAGGCTCAGCACACACGCCGAGCGCAGCGCCGCGGGGGGGGGGGGGGGGGGCGGATCTGATGTACAGACCAGACGCTGGGCCGCCGCGGCTGCCAGGTGTGCCCACAGCACGCAGCACGGAGGGAACAAAACCCCAGCCGCTCTGGTTTCAGAGAGCCAGGGGCTGGCCTTGTGACCAGGCCCGCGGAGCGGCACCCAGGACTTCTCAGAGCACGACGGCACCAGCGGCTTCGTCCCCACACTGCTTTACACACAAGGTGCGCGCAGGAAACGCGCGGTGGAAGACGCGGGCCCTGTTTCTGCTTCAAGAACGCACTTAAAAGCTCTGCTCAGCACAGCTCAGCACCTAACGAGCGCAGGGCAGAAACTGCTTCATTCCTGCTCTTACTCAACACGGGAAAACCCACTTCTAGTAACGGAACAGCGCACTTCAGCCCTGTGAAAGGACACGTCCTGACCACCCGCCCGACATCCGGCAGAGTGAGTTACTGACCGCGGGAAGGCCTCAGGACAGACCCAGAGCCTCTCCCACGTGACGTGATGTGACGTGACGTGCGGCAGCAGGACTGTCCCCAGCTATTCACCTGCCGGCCGTGGAGACTGCGCACGGGCAAGGAAACAGGCAGTCTCATCTGCACACAGAGCCAAACGCGGCGCCGTGTGCCTCCCCGTTCTCCTGCCTTCCCGGGACGGGACTGCCGGCCGGCCTGGGGTCACACTGCTCACGTGTACAGGGACAGGACTGCCGGCTGGCCCGGCGCCTCACTGCTCACGTGTACAGGGACGGGACTGCCGGCCGGCCTGGGGTCACACTGCTCACGCGTACAGGGACGGGACTGCCGGCCGGCCCGGCGCCACACTGCTCGCGCGTACAGGGACTGGACTGCTGGCCGGCCCGGCGCCTCACTGCTCGCGCATGCAGGGACAGGACTGCCGGGCGGCCCGGCGCCACACTGCTCGCGCGTACAGGGACAGGACTGCCGGCCGGCCCGGCGCCACACTGCTCACGTGTACAGGGACGGGACTGCTGGCCGGCCCGGGGTCACACTGCTCGCGCGTGCAGGGACGGGACTGCCGGCCGGCCTGGGGTCACACTGCTCACGTGTACAGGGACAGGACTGCCGGCCGGCCCGGCGCCTCACTGCTCACGTGTACAGGGACGGGACTGCCGGCCGGCCTGGGGTCACACTGCTCGCACGTACAGGGACGGGACTGCCGGCCGGCCCGGCGCCTCACTGCTCACGTGTACAGGGATGGGACTGCCGGCCGGCCCGGGGTCACACTGCTCACGCGTACCCTGCACTCGCTGTGAACATCCCACACTGCAGTGCCGACTGTGATACCCTGCTGTCCACTCGTCACAGTCCCTCAAACCACCGCTTGTCCACAGTGTGTAAAGTGCTCGTCAGCACAGGAGTGCAAGACAATTATACTGCAAACACACGCAGCACAGACACACAGACACCACAGAACTGCCAGTCACGGTCTGGCTGGCAGCACTGTTCAGACTACAAGGTTGCTACAAACGAGCAGACAGCCACGACCACGGCAGCAGGCGGAGGAAGCAGGACAGGAGGGTGAGCTGAGAGCTTCCCACCCACAGAGCTGCCAACGCGCCACTGCCCGCAGAGCCCACGGACACGGGCAAGCGTCCCTGGGGCCGACAGTGACCGCGGGGCTTCCCACTGCCCCTCAGTGCTCTCGAGGACCAACACATCCAGCTGGCTCCGCAAGTCCTCACGCATTCCCTGACTGCCAAGATGGCCGCCGTGACGCTCTGGCTGGCCCTTCCCGAAGTGCTAGGAGCAGCGGGGACCCAGGAAGCAGCACACACGGCACAGCCCATCAGCAAACAGGACAAGTGTTAGGCGGGACACAGCCGCAGGTGGGATGCTGCCACACTGCCTGGGGCCCTCACGGCAGTGGCCTTCAGCTGAGGCCTGAGACGAGAAGGGCCCAGGCCTGTGACGCCGAGGGCAAGGGCAGACAGCAGTGCAGGACAGGCGTCTGGCCGAGCCCTGGGCAGCAGGGGCAGTCTGGGTGGGGGGAGACCTCTGTGTGAGACAGGACCAGGGGGGAGACCTCTATGAGACAGGACAGGGGGGAGACCTCTGTGTGAGACAGGATGGGGGTGGGGGAGACCTCTGTGTGAGACAGGACGGGGGTGGGGGAGACCTCTGTGTGAGACAGGACGGGGGTGGGGGGAGACCTCTGTGTGAGACAGGACGGGGGTGGGGAGAGACCTCTGTGTGAGACAGGACCAGGGGGTAGGGGGAGACCTCTGTGTGAGACAGGATGGGGGTGGGGGAGACCTCTGTGTGAGACAGGACAGGGGGCAGACCTCTGTGTGAGACAGGACGGGGGTGGGGGGAGACCTCTGTGAGAGACAGGACCAGGGGGTAGGGGGAGACCTCTGTGTGAGACAGGACGGGGGTGGGGGAGACCTCTGTGTGAGACAGGACCAGGGGGTGGGGGGAGACCTCTGTGTGAGACAGGACGGGGGTGGGGGGAGACCTCTGTGCGAGACAGGGTGGGGGGAGACCTCTGTGAGACAGGGCGGGGGTGGGGGAGACCTCTGTGAGACAGGGCGGGGGTGGGGGAGACCTCTGTGAGACAGGGCGGGGGTGGGGGGAGACCTCTGTGAGACAGGGCGGGGGTGGGGGGAGACCTCTGTGTGAGACAGGACGGGGGTGGGGGGAGACCTCTGTGTGAGACAGGACAGGGGGGAGACCTCTGTGTGAGACAGGACGGGGGTGGGGGGAGACCTCTGTGTGAGACAGGACCGGGGGATAGGGGGAGACCTCTGTGTGAGACAGGACGGGGGTGGGGGGAGACCTCTGTGTGAGACAGGACGGGGGTGGGGGAGACCTCTGTGAGACAGGGTGGGGGTGGGGGGAGACCTCTGTGTGAGACAGGGTGGGGGGAGACCTCTGTGTGAGACAGCACGGGGGTGGGGGGAGACCTCTATGAGACAGGGTGGGGGGAGACCTCTGTGTGAGACAGGACGGGGGTGGGGGAGACCTCTGTGAGACAGGGCGGAGGGGAGAGACCTCTGTGAGACAGGGGAGGGAAGACCTCTGTGAGACAGGGCGGGGGTGGGGGAGACCTCTGGGACGCAGGGCGGCAGGCGCACTGCTGTTGAGGCCTGGGCCCTGACACGTAGTCCCCACAGTGGGGCTGCAGCCAGGAACTCCGTGTGCCAAGTGACAAGGTGACATTTTTCAAGCCGCTGCGAACGCGAACGGGAAAAGGAGGCGGATGGGCGAGCAGCACAGGAGACACTGGCGTGGGGGCGGGCGGGGGACCGCTCCAAGGCGGCGGGAGCCCTGCAGCCCGCAGCCTCGTGAGTACCAACTCAGTCCCAGTGTGGGCTGCGAGGCACTGGGCCCAACCCAAGCGCACCAGCGCCCGGCCAGGCCGCAGAAACCTGGAAGCTCAGGTGTCGCACGCAGCGCCCAGGGTGAGTCCCGCCGCCTGGGTGTGGCACGAGGGCCCCCAGGAGGCCCTGGACAACACACGTGACCACTGGGCAACAGCAGCACGCAGAGCGCCCCAGAGAGCTCACCGCACTGGCCACCGCGAGCAAGTCGGCTACTGCTCCGGCCCCTGGTTTGGGTGGCTCGTCTTCCAGAAACAGCACCCCAGAATGATCAAAGAAATGAACCGAGGAAAGGGGAGCTGGGGGTGGGGCTGAGCGCCCCGGGCAGGGGTCACGGCATCTCCCACAGAGGTGGAGCTGGGGACGGTGCGTGGGAGCACTACAGACGAGGACTGGCCGCCGCGGCCCGCAGCCCTCTGTCCCCCCAGGAGCAGCCCTCTGTGCCCCCAGGAGCAGCCCTCTGTGCCCCCAGGAGCAGCCCTCTGTCCCCCCAGGCGGCCCACAGCCCTCTGTCCCCCAGGCGGCCCGCAGCCCTCTGTTCCCCAGGAGCAGCCCACAGCCCTCTGTCCCCCCAGGCGGCCCACAGCCCTCTGTCCCCCAGGCGGCCCGCAGCCCTCTGTTCCCCAGGAGCAGCCCACAGCCCTCTGTCCCCCCAGGCGGCCCGCAGCCCTCTGTTCCCCAGGAGCAGCCCTCTGTCCCCCCAGGAGCAGCCCTCTGTGCCCCCAGGCGGCCCACAGCCCTCTGTCCCCCCAGGTGGCCCGCAGCCCTCTGTCCCCCCAGGCGGCCCACAGCCCTCTGTCCCCCCAGGCGGCCCACAGCCCTCTGTCCCCCCAGGAGCAGCCCTCTGTGCCCCCAGGCGGCCCACGGCCCTCTGTCCCCCCAGGAGCAGCCCACAGCCCTCTGTCCCCCCAGGAGCAGCCCACAGCCCTCTGTCCCCCCAGGAGCTGCCCACAGCCCTCTGTCCCCCAGGAGCAGCCCACAGCCCTCTGTGCCCCCAGGCGGCCCACAGCCCTCTGTCCCCCCAGGAGCTGCCCACAGCCCTCTGTGCCCCCAGGCGGCCCACAGCCCTCTGTCCCCCCAGGAGCAGCCCTCTGTCCCCCCAGAAACAGCCCTCTGTCCCCCCAGGCGGCCCGCAGCCCTCTGTCCCCCCAGGCAGCCCACAGCCCTCTGTCCCCCAGGAGCAGCCCACAGCCCTCTGTCCCCCCAGGCGGCCCACAGCCCTCTGTCCCCCAGGAGCAGCCCACAGCCCTCTGTCCCCCCAGGCGGCCCGCAGCCCCTGTCCCCGCAGGCGCAGCCCCGTCACCCACCTTGCTTGTTGGTAACGCCGCTCCACTGTGCACGTCGCCCCCTAAATCAAAAGTTGTCTCCTGAACCATGCTGGTGGGACCAGAAAAGAAAGAGTTAACAACGTTCAAATGACCTGGCAAAAACAACACTTAACTACATATTCAAATGTTCAAAGATCTTTTTAAAAATGCTTTATTTGCAGCACATGAAATTACAGATTAAAAAGGGGGGTGGCAGTGGCGTGGGGACTGGCATCGCCCATGGTGGCAGCATCCCACGTGGGGCTGGCTAGAGCCCTGGCTGCTCCACTTGCGATCCAGCTTCCTGCTGCTGACCGGGAAGAGCGGTGGAGGACGGCTTGAGAGCTCAGGCCCCTGCCGCCCACGCCAGAGACCTGGAAGAAGCTCCTGGCGGTGGTCTGGCCAAGCCCTGGCCATGGTGGCCATCTGGGGACCGAACCAGCAGACGAAGATCTCTCGTGATCCCCATCTCGCTCGCTCACTCTCTCCCCCGCTTTCTCTCTGCAATTCTGACTGTCAAACACTGGCACAGAGCTAACACCTTCAGGATCACTACTCAATAACCAGAAGTCGCGTGGACCTAATGACACAGCAGGCATCCCCTGACGTCAGCCTGCGTAGGCCTCCAGCGGCACAGGATGCGGTGGGCGGCCCTCCCTGTGCACAGCACCGAGGCCAGGCTGCCACCACAGCGCCGTGAGGAGCTGCCCCTGACAGCCCCGCTGGGGGTCTTGTTAGAGCAGAGGGATCACGGCGTAGGCTACACATTTAAAAATCAGGAATTTCTGATGTTGTTAGTGACTCAATCAACAGTTCTTCGCGTGTAGACGGATTTTTTTTTTTTTAGAAAAAGACTTTATTTATTTATTTGAAAGGCAGACTTACAGAGAGGCAGAGAGAGAGAGAGAGAGAGAGAGAGAGAGAGAGGTCTTCCATCCACTGGTTCACTCCCCAGAGTGAACCGCAATGGCTGGAGCCAATCCGAAGCCAGGAGCCAGGAGCTTCCCCAGGTCTCCCACGTGGGTGCAGGGGCCCAAGGACCTGGGCCATCCTCTACTGCTTTCCCAGGCCACAGCAGAGGGCTGGATCAGAAGTGGAGCAGCTGGGACTCGAACGGGTGCCCACATGGGATGCCAGCACTGCAGGCAGCGGCTTTACCTGCTGTGCCACAGTGCCAGCCCTAGGAGATTTTTAAAATACCTCAAAAATACCAAAACTTCTAACCGCATCATTATAAAAAACTCAGAATACAAATAAAACCTCACTTTGAAGAATAATGAGCTGAGCAAGGCCCCAGGGCACCAGGAAGCCACTGACAGAGAACCCTGCTACCTCAGCTCTGAGAAACTGCAACCAGGCCACACCGCGGCGTAGCGGGCTAAGCTGCCGCCCATGTGCCGGCGTCCCATATGGGCACCAGTTTCATTTCCTGGGCTCCACTTCCCATCCAGCTCCCTGCTAATGTGCCTGAGAAAGCAGCAACAAATGGCCCAAGTGCTTGGCCCCTGCACCCGTGTGGGAGACCGAGAAGAAGCTCCTGGCTCCTGGCTTTGGCCTGGCCCAGCCCCGGCCACTGCAGCCATGTGGGGAGGGAACCAGCGGATGGAAGATCTCTCTGGTTCTCTAACTTGGCCTTTAAAGTAAATAAGTAAAATTCTTAAAAAGGAAAATCGTCTTAGGATACAAAATACTCCCCTTTGAACGGTGACTATTTTGCTATTTTTTTCTTAAGATGTATTTATTTATTTGAAACAGAGACGGCGTGGGGGACGACACCCCCAAGGACACCCAAACACAGACACCACAAGACAGAACGCGGCACGGTCACCAACAAGCGGCACTGCGGGGACCTGCCTCACGCCATGAATCTCTCGGGCAAAGCCCCAGGGAGCCCAGCGCAGGTGCAAGGGCGTGGGCAGCCGTCGCCCAGGAAGGCGAGCGCCTGTGCGCTCAGAGCCGGCACACAGCAGGCTGCCCCAGGCTCAGGACGGAAGCCGGGCCGGGGCCACCCTGCAGTGGATGACACCAGAGGAAGACGGGGAGTCTCCCGGGAAGCACACTGCAAAGGCACCTGCTGGTCGCTGGCAAGTGACAGGTGTGCAGAGGCTGACACAGAACTCAGAGCCCAGCACCGTGGTGAGTGTCCCTCTGCCTAAGTGACTACGACGTGACAGCCCACGCAGCTTCAGCCCTCAACAGTCAACCTGGCCCAGGGTGAGCCAGCACGGTGGCAAGGCGACAGAGGGAGGCGCACCCGTGCTGCTGTTGGCGAAAGCTCACACCTCAGCGCACTTGGGGCCGCACGAGGGAGGACCACCACAGCCGTCACTCCAGGACCCACGTCCCACCTACCTGAAAACAGGTCATGGCAGCGAAGCAGCATGCTGGTTTTGAAAATCATCATTACCGAAAGGGACAGCCTATTTTCTACTCCAAAAAGGTTTTACTAGACAGTAAAAAGGACTTGTTTTCCAAACAAGCCCACGCTGCAAGGCCTCAGAGAAGCACCAGGTGGCGCCAAATACCCCGACCTCCTAAACAATCTTAATTATGCTTCAGTATTAAAATGACATGAAAAGCAAAAGTAACAAAAACCTTCAATAAAATGACTTAAGAGATCTCAGCCCCATGATTTCACAGAACATGCCTGTAAGCATTGTTAGGACGGTAACACTGTTATTGTAGCCTGGTGCATTCGCTAAGAAAAATGTTACACTTAAAACAGACATGCTGCAGAAGTTGAAAACACAAAGCGAAAGCCTGCAGACGTGGCCCAGCTGCAGCACCCTCAGCCCACGCCGCCAGCAGCGCTTACCCTGGCTTGTGCCTCGCGCCCTTCATCAGGCCTCCCTCCGCGGGCCTCTTGGCCAGCACGTGGTCCTGGCTGGGGTCCACAAACTTGAACACATGCGACGCCCCGAACTGCAGTTTCATGCCACTCTGCAGCATGGTGGTCTCGGAAATGCGCTGGCCGTCCACGTACGTCTCCGCGTCCATGCTCCGCGGCGTCACGGTGACCACGCCGTCCATGTTGGTGAGGTCACAGTGATGCGGCTGAATGCCTGGGCCAAGCAACTGCAACAGGAAGAAGCCAAAGCAAAACCAAAACCCGCCGTGAGGTGTGCGGAGTTGGAACCAAACGTACACAGCTCACGCCTGGCGATGGTGAATAACAGCTCGATCCCTGGTGTTTTTACTGCAGTTGCTCCCCAAAACTGTGACAGCTACACACAGCCAAAACACTGCCAACACAGTGGCTCACTGTCAGTATCCAGACTTCACCGGAGGACAGCTAACGCACTGAGAAGCGGACGCTTCTCCCAGCTGACGGACGGTCCGTAGGGATCATTACGGCCGCAGTGACCAGCAACCTGTGTTGAGGGTCAAGGAACGGCAGAGCGGACAGGACCTGAATCCGCCCGTCCACAGCTGAGGACGCCCCGAGGACATGTCCACCGCCTGCCGGCTCGCGGACTACGTGAGCGCCTGCCCCAGCACGCGCAGAGCCACCGCAAGGCCCTCAGCTCTGCGACAGCCCCGACCCTGCGGAAGGGAGGAAGGGGGCTGTCTCAGGGAAAGCAGCAGCCCAGGTTTCTGGAGGTGGACGGGGGAACTCGCTCTGCTCTTCTCCCACCAAAGCAGGCGGGCGACTCACACCCCACCCCATCGCAAACGCTGCGGTCCGGCAGCGACGGCGGGAGGCGCACCTGGATGGAGTTGTCCTCGAACTTGTCCGTCCCGACCTCGGTCACGCTCAGCTGCAGGCGATAGAGCTTCGGCTTGTCTCTGGAGTCGGAGCCGTCTGCAAGCAGAGAGCGCGCGCGCCATTGGCGAGGCCGAAGGCTCGGCCACGGCACTCACAGCCAGCACCCAGGAAGCGACTACGCCCCTCCCGTCTGGGGACTTCTGCTCAAGAACTCGCCAAGGGTGTCACACAACTCAGTGAGCCGGACACAGAAAATTCAAATGAAAAGTCAGCACAGAAACGTCTACTTAACCCAAAATGCACACGACCATGGATCCCAACGCGTCCTAACTACACGGGAAGAAGCTGTCTCTACCATGTATCCGGGTTTCTGTGAGTAATTCCAGGGAAATTTTATTAACAAAGTGACCATCAGAGATGATCAGGCCTACGACACAGAGCACAGTGCAGGCTGACCAGGGGTGGGCGGGGGGGGAGGTGTATTTTTAATTCATTTACTTAAGGAGCAGAGAGCGAGCGAGAGGGCGAGCGAGAGCGCTCCCATCTGCTGGTTGACTCCCCAAACGCTGCCAACAGCCAGAGCCAAAGCAGGAACGCAATCCGGCTGTGCCATTTGAGTGGCAGGAAACCAATTACTTGAGCCGTCACGCAGCTGCCTTGCAGGGTTGGCACTGGCAGGAAGCTGGGGTCAGAATCCAGAGCCAGGATCTGAACACAGGCTCTCCCGTGAGGGCAGGCTCGGCCCCCTTGGCTGGGAGATGAAACACCCACTCCAGGCGCAGGCTCCTGAGTCCCCCGCGGGTGGCGCTGCAGATGAGCCCAGAGGGCAGACTTGTTCACATCTAGATGAACTGTCGGAGCTTTGACCAGGGAGCGCCTCACCCCCTCCAGGACCGCCTACCACACGCGTGCCTTTCCACCACGCACGCCTCCGTGGACCCTATCCACTCCATCCCACGGATGCTGGATGATGTCCACTGAGACCCACCCCCATCTCAGAGCTGCTGACCCAGGAAAATGCACCTCAAAGGACGCCTGGTGCCGCAACTGCAGAGCCAGGCTTCCAGCTGAAGTCCACCCAGCGAAGGGTCCCGCCCCGCCCCCTTCACGCCTGCCTGGAAACGGCCAGAAACACTTTACCCTGCGCTTGGATTCCGTCACCACAGTCAGGAGGGCAGCTGTGCGGGCTCAGAACGTCACATAGTAGAGGGATGAGCGTGTACACAGCACGTGAACACAGTCACCATGTACAGCCATGTGGACAGGCACCACGTGCACACAGCCATGAGAACTGACAAGCACCACGTGTACACAGCCACGTGAGCTCTGACAGGCACCACGTGTACACAGCCACAGGAACTGACAGGCACCACGTGCACACAGCCACGTGAGCTCTGACAGGCACCACGTGCACACAGCCACAGGAACTGACAGGCACCACGTGCACACAGCCACAGGAACTGACAGGCACCACGTGCACACAGCCATGAGAACTGACAAGCACCACGTGCACACAGCCACAGGAACTGACAGGCACCACGTGCACACAGCCACAGGAACTGACAGGCATCACGAGTACACAGCCACGTGAGCTCTGACAGGCACCACGTGCACACAGCCACGTGAGCTGACAGGCACCACATGTACACAGCCACAGGAACTGACAGGCACCACGTGTACACAGCCACGAGAACTGACAGGCACCACGTGTACACAGCCACGTGAGCTGACAGGCACCACGTGTACACAGCCACGAGAACTGACAGGCACCACGTGTACACAGCCACGAGAACTGACAGGCACCACGTGCACACAGCCACATGAGCTGACAGGCACCACGTGCACACAGCCACAGGAACTGACAGGCACCACGAGTACACAGCCACAGGAACTGACAGGCACCACGTGTACACAGCCACGTGAGCTGACAGGCACCACGTGCACACAGCCACAGGAACTGATAGGCACCACGTGTACACAGCCGCGTGACCTCTGACAGGTATGAATGAGCACACAGCCGCGTGACCTCTGACAGGCACCACGTGTACACAGCCGCGTGACCTCTGACAGGTGTGAGTGAGCACACGGCCACGTGACCTGACAGGCACCAGGTGTACACAGCCGCGTGACCTCACAGACAATGGAGACCCTGGATTCACGAGCTCCGTGGGAGCGGATATGAGCCTCGGAGCACACAACGTGAACTCTAATGACGAAGCTTCCCGCCTCGTGACATGCGGGTGACACAGGTCGAAGGCGCGGGGGGAGGTTCCTGTGCACACTGCTCCGCCCTGTGCCGGGCCGCCTCCTCCAGTCCAGCCCTCAGAGGTCCGCTTCTCCCGGCCACGCAGGCCCCTCCCAGACCCGCTCAGCCCAACCCCTTGCCCTGTCGGCACCTCGGACGGCCGAGCAAATACCTGGGCAGCACACGTGTCCCTCTGCTGGCGGCCACAGCCCCGCTGCCCCGCCGCACTAGCCCTGACCGCACGGCCGCTTCCTCTTGGCCTGTCTCCCTCACCTCCAAGCCCCTCGGTGGCAAGCCTTTACGTACACCTCCCTGGGGCCTGTGTCGTGCGAGGCCGGCATCCCACTTGGGTGCCAGTTCTCATTCCAGCTGCTCCACTTCCCACCCAGGAAGGAAGTGGAAGACGCCCCTGCACCCATGTGGGAGACCCAGATGGAGCTCCTGGCTTCGGCCTGGCCCAGCCCCAGCTGTGAAGGCCATTGTCTGGGGGGTGAACCAGCAGATGGAAGATCTCTCTCTCTCTCTAACTCTGAAAAATTAATAATCCCTCCACTCTGGCACTCAGCACTAGCGTGTGGTCTGCAGTATGCAACTAGCAGACACGCTGCGTTAACAGCAAATAATTACACCGGGCAATGCCACAGTCACGACAGCCACACCAACCATTATAAACCAAGGAGAACCAGTCACGGTGCCGCGAGAACAGTCACTTCAACGCACAGGTAAGAACGCAAGAATGTGAGCGACATGTCAGTCTGGAGGGGAAGTGAAGCTGGCATTACTACCCTGAACTTGGAGTGCGTCTGCAAGGTCTCCTGGGAGCTGACAGGTGAGACCACACCGCACCCAGAGACCTAGCAACAGGCGGACTAGAACCACGCTGCTTCCCAACGCCTCCCGGCTCTGCGGCAGCAACAGAGCCGGGGGAAGCCTTCCCGGGCTCTGAGGAACCTGGCTCAGTGGTGCTGACTGAGCTGAGGCAGGGGAGGGGGAGCCAGTGTCGCCTCCCTGTGACAGCCCACCCGCCTCTCCTCACTAAACACACAACATCTCACAGAAGCAACACCCAGACAACTGCCACCCGCAACAAAGCCCCGTGTTTCCCCCCGTCCTCAACAGGTGTTCTACAAATACTTGGCTTCTGCCCCAAATGCCTGAGATCTCCCCACCGCAGGCGCAGCCGTCCGTGCGCCCAGCAGAGCCCGGCAGACACAGGTTGGGACCCCCGTCCCGCTGGGGCCGCAGTTTTCCCCCTGGACGAATCAGACCTAGGGTACTCCAGGTAAACCGGAAGACACCGTGGGTCGCCCCATGCACACGCACCACCTGCTTCCTGGGCAGCGCGTGCCTGGCTGCGGCCGGGAGCGGGCGACCCCGCGGAGTGACGCGGGCCCTCTAAGCAGTCTCCAGTGGGGGGGCACTCGGGATGCTCATCACACACTCCAAACACGAAGGGCGAGCAGGCCGCTGTGAGCAGGCCCGCGCACGTCCCCAGCGGACAGCAGCTCCACACCTGCGTCTGCTCTGCCCCAGTCTTTCCCAGCGAACCGGGGAACGCACAGGCAGAGCCGGCTTCTGTGTGCAGAGCTCGCCTTGGGCACGGCCATCGCGTGTCCACAACGAACCCACTCCCCGCAGTCACAGCCTGAGGGGTGCGGCGCGTGAGCAGTGGGGTCCGCATTACCTTCGCCAGTGTGATGGCTGTAGCAGGCAAAGTGACTCCTCCTCCCTGGGGTGAGACACACGCCAGGGCGCAGGTGAAGGCGGCGCCGGCAGCACAGAGAACACGCAGAACACACGGGAGAGGAGAGGGGAGAGACGCAGAGGGTGAGCTTCCGTGAGGCGTGTTTCGAAGGAAGAAAAGGTACATTCTACCCTTCAGCTCCTCAGAGCCGAGAGAGAACGCTACAGCGGCGCTCCAGAGCCAGGCAGGCTGCTGAGACAGGACAACAGGTGTCACCAAGCAACGCGACAGCACCAGCAGGCTGTGGGCCACACCAGGCCTCCACCCACCGGGCTGGCTGCTCCTGTTCACAACACATCCAACTCCACAGCAAAGAACAAACACGGAGCGTCTTCACCTCCCACTTCTCCAGGAGACAGCGCGCACGCGGCGTCGGCGTCTCCAGGAGACAGCGCGCACGCGGCGTCGGCATCTCCAGGAGAGAGCGCACACGCAGCGTCGGCGTCTCCAGGAGAGAGCGCACACGCAGCGTCGGCGTCTCCAGGAGAGAGCGCACACGCAGCGTCGGCGTCTCCAGGAGACAGCGCGCACGTGGCGTCGGCGTCTCCAGGAGACAGCGCGCACGTGGCGTCGGCGTCTCCAGGAGACAGCGCGCACACGGCGACGGCCTCTCCAGGAGACAGCGCGCACGCGGCGACGGCCTCTCCAGGAGACAGCGCGCACGCGGCGTGAGCATCTCCAGGAGAGAGCGCGCACGCGGCGTCGGCGTCTCCAGGAGAGAGCGCGCACGCGGCGTCGGCGTCTCCAGGAGAGAGCGCGCACGCGGCGTCGGCGTCTCCAGGAGAGAGCGCGCACGCGGCGGCGGCGTCTCCAGGAGACAGCGCGCACGCGGCGTCGGCGTCTCCAGGAGACAGCGCGCACGCGGCGTCAGCGTCTCCAGGAGACAGCGCGCACGCGGCGTCAGCGTCTCCAGGAGACAGCGCGCACGCGGCGTGAGCATCTCCAGGAGACAGCGCGCACGCGGCGTGAGCATCTCCAGGAGAGAGCGCGCACGCGGCGTCGGCGTCTCCAGGAGAGAGCGCGCACGCGGCGTGAGCATCTCCAGGAGAGAGCGCGCACGCGGCGTCGGCGTCTCCAGGAGAGAGCGCGCACGCGGCGTCGGCGTCTCAGGAGAGAGCGCGCACGCGGCGTCGGCGTCTCCAGGAGAGAGCGCGCACGCGGCGTCGGCGTCTCCAGGAGAGAGCGCGCACGGCGGCGTCGGCGTCTCCAGGAGAGAGCGCGCACGCGGCGTCGGCGTCTCCAGGAGAGAGCGCGCACGCGGCGTCGGCGGCTCAGGAGAGAGCGCGCACGCGGCGTCGGCGTCTCCAGGAGAGAGCGCGCACGCGGCGTCGGCGTCTCCAGGAGAGAGCGCGCACGCGGCGTCGGCGTCTCCAGGAGAGGAGCGCGCACGCGGCGTCGGCGTCTCCAGGAGAGAGCGCGCCACGCGGCGTCGGCGTCTCCAGGAGAGAGCGCGCACGCGGCGTCGGCGTCTCCAGGAGACAGCGCGCACGCGGCGTCGACGTCTCCAGGAGACAGCGCGCACGCGGCGTCGGCGTCTCCAGGAGACAGCGCGCACGCGGCGTCGGCGTCTCCAGGAGACAGCGCGCACGCGGCGTGAGCATCTCCAGGAGACAGCGCGCACGCGGCGTGAGCATCTCCAGGAGAGAGCGCGCACGCGGCGTCGGCGTCTCCAGGAGAGAGCGCGCACGCGGCGTGAGCATCTCCAGGAGAGAGCGCGCACGCGGCGTCGGCGTCTCCAGGAGAGAGCGCGCACGCGGCGTCGGCGTCTCCAGGAGAGAGCGCGCACGCGGCGTCGGCGTCTCCAGGAGAGAGCGCGCACGCGGCGTCGGCGTCTCCAGGAGAGAGCGCGCACGCGGCGTCGGCGTCTCCAGGAGAGAGCGCGCACGCGGCGTCGGCGTCTCCAGGAGAGAGCGCGCACGCGGCGTCGGCGTCTCCAGGAGAGAGCGCGCACGCGGCGTCGACGTCTCCAGGAGACAGCGCGCACGCGGCGTCGGCGTCTCCAGGAGACAGCGCGCACGCGGCGTCGACGTCTCCAGGAGACAGCGCGCACGCGGCGTCGACACCTCCAGGAGAGAGCGCGCACGCGGCGTCGGCGTCTCCAGGAGACAGCGCGCACGCGGCGTCGACACCTCCAGGAGACAGCATGCACACGGCATAGGCACCTCAGGGGCCGCCTGGCCTCCGCGTGGGGCCTCGACATGGCAGACGCATGCTTGGTGACACATGCAGTGGAGACACGGGACTCACCCACTCATGACCAACCCCGGGGTGAACACACACTGGGAACAGATCGAGCGCATGCAGCATACTGTGAGCGGTTAACAGACTGAAAACCTGGAGACGTCACGGCCTGGAGAAAGCACACGCCGCAGTGCGGGCGAGACCCGGGCCAAGCGGTCAGGCGTGCCCCTGAGCTCTCTGCACACTAACGGGGAGGCTCCCAGGGGCCCACAGATTTGCCGCCATCTCCTGGCACGTGGGCTACCCGCAGGAGGGGCAGTTCCTTCACCTGCTCTGACTAAGGCAGCGCCGGCAGCAGTGTGGCAGGAAAGACGGGGGCGCCAGCACTGCCGAAGGCTGCCACAGAGCTCCTGCTCACCTGGGCGCCGGGATCTCCCCACACCTGAGAGACACTTCTAACTACGAAACTAACCACCCAAGAAACCAAGAAACCACCAAGAAACCAACCAAGAAACCACCCAAGAAACCACCAAGAAACCACCAAGAAACCACCCAAGAAACCACCCAAGAAACCACCAAGAAACCACCAAGAAACCACCAAGAAACCAACCAAGAAACCAAGAAACCACCAAGAAACCAACCAAGAAACCAAGAAACCACCAAGAAACCACCCAAGAAACCACCAAGAAACCACCAAGAAACCACCAAGAAACCACCCAAGAAACCACCCAAGAAACCACCAAGAAACCACCAAGAAACCAACCAAGAAACCAAGAAACCACCAAGAAACCACCAAGAAACCACCAAGAAACCACCAGAAACCAAGAAACCACCAAGAAACCAAGAAACCACCAAGAAACCGCGGGTGTGAGGGCGGCAATCCTCCCTGCAACGCGAGGCCGCGGCTCACCTGGCGCTCTCTGTCCAAGGCCCAGAGGGACGTCTGACACGGACAAAGCGCTGGATGAACACGTGCCAAATCCACATGTTCATCCTCCCTCAGCTCGCCACCAAGATCAACTCTGCGCCGTTCCCGGGGAGTCATCTGTCCCGGCCGCGCTGTGCGGCAGGGGGCAAAGCCGGCATCCCCTACGGGCGCCACTTAGCACCTCGGCTGCACTTCCGATCCGGCTCTCTGCTGACGCTCCTGGCAAGCAGCGGAAGACGGCCCAGGTCTGGACCTCTGCCCCCGATGTGGGGCACCTGGAGGAAGCTCCTGGCCCTGGCCTGGCCCTGGCCTGGCCCAGCCGCTGCAGCTACTGGGGAGTGAACCATCAGATGGAAGCACGCGCGCGCGCGCTCTCTCGCACTCGCTCACTCGCTCGCTCTCTCTCTTTCCCTCCCTCCTAACTCTAGTTTTCAAATAAATACTCTGTTGTTTGCTCTTTTTAAATTTTCTAAGGGCTAACACTCTCAATTCTCAAAAATTTGGATCTGGAGAAGACAATCATCAGTTTCCATCATCCAAATGTAAAACTCAAGGACAGACCCGATGAGTGACGAAGATCTTCACAACCTTGAGCTCAGGAGGACACGCACAGCCCCACGGGATCGGGCAGCAAGGCGGCCTCACCCTCACACGCAGCGCTGGGACAGGTCTCAAAGCCACGATGAACAGGGGCCCAGCCACACTAACGCGGCCCTCACCAAGCTCATCAATGAAAACGGACAGCCTCAAACGAAAGTGAGAGTAAGAAGTACTGAGAACCCGAAAGCCACACTGTCACCAACTATAAACCGGAGTGTCACGGAAACAACACCCCCACCCTGCACTGATGTAACCTAGCTGCACCACACGCCTGCTGTCCAAAAACACCCTCTCTAATCGTCAGTCAACCCCAACAGTTGGCTCTAAGACACTAAACTAGGCGAGCAAGCATGGACATCGCCAGAGAGGGCAGACGCTCCTCTCGGCTGTCTACGTGAGAGGCTCACTTCTCCACTTCGCTAGAGAAACTAACCAGGCTTCATCTGAACCCAGTTTCTGGAAGGCTCTCGTTAGCATTTTACAATACAGGTCACCTGATACCATTTTAACTAAATAACTAAGAAATGATGTAGTTTGGCTGAATGGCAGACATACATAGCATACACACATGCAAATATATGCAAATGGAGAGATGAACGCATACATAAAACATTTCTTTAAGATTATGAAGGTCATTCTCTACCGACAGTTAGCTTGTGACAATACCTTTAGCTTATGACTTTCCCACAAGGTATTTAGAGAACTAATATGACAAAAAACTTACTCTGCTATTTCAAAATCAAATTACCATGATGAATTTCTTAGATCTTCTATTAAATTTAAAGAGACCCTCTTTAGCTACCATTCATAGAACACAAAAAATAATATACTCCTCTGTTAAATCTGCCCTAGGAGGGGAAATTTTCAATTTGTCATTATTAGTAGAAGAACAGTGTTTTATTACAGTTTTTTGGAAAAGTTTTCCTAAAAAGAAATACATTATTTAAAACTCTTAAGCATGACATGCCAATTTAAATTTTGTTCTTAATACTCTTTTTACCCACATGAACTTTATTTGTATGCACGAGTGCACACATTCTATGACTCTAAGTTTCTTTTTTCATAAATGTCATTTTGCAAAGGCTCCTTTTTTTTTTACATAAATGATTTACAAACAGCCAACAGAAAGGTCACCTAAGCAAGACGTAGCAAAGAAAGCTTGCCACCTGCGACCGGCTCTCTCACCTGGGCTTAACTCCACCAGGTAGGGCAGCTTCTCGGGCGGCAGGGCCGAGCCGTAGCCGGCCCCGTCGGCCCGCTCCTTCCCCCTCAGCGGCCTCGCGTCCCCCTGCTTCTTCACTGCCGACGGGACGGGGTCTGGCGGCCTCCTCTTCAGCTGGAACACGAGTATCCCTGGAACAGCAAACTGGACGTCAGCAACCCGGCTCCAGCGGCGTGGCGCCCGGGCGAGCCACCTGCCGCCAATGGACAATGCGACGAGGTCAACCGAGTGAAGCTTAACCACCTTCTCAGGCCGCTGCACGTGAAGAACGACACGTCACCCACTTAAGAAATAAGTGAAAGTCCACGTTGGCAAATAACCCTAAGACCAACAAACATATTCCTACACTCACACGCAAATGCATGCCTAAAAACATATTTCCAGTTGATCCAGTTTTTACTTAATTCAAGTGAATTAGTCAAATTGCTGTGAATTCTGAGTTAAGCTTATTTTGTCTCGGAAAAAATACTAAACAAGTATTTTTTAAAAGATGTATTTATTGGGGCTGGTGCTGTGGAGTAGCAGATAAAGCCACCGCCTGCAGTGCTGGCATCCCATATGGGTGTCGGTTCAAGTCCCTGCTGCTCCACTTCTGATCCGCTATGGCCCAGGCTGGTCCAGGCTGAAGGCAGGAGCCTCCAACTCCATCAGGGTTTCCCACGTGGGTGGCGGGAGCCTAAGTATTTGACCCATCTTCAATCGTTTTCCCAAGCACATTGTGAGGGGGCAGCTGGCACTCACCAGATCTCAGGTGCCAGCACTGCCGGAGACAGCGTAATCCACACAGCACAACTCAGGCCACGAGCACGTATGCTAATGAGGCTAGAGACTGTTACTAAGAAAGACGTGTCTGCAATGCAGCACAGTGGGCTAAGCCTCCGCCTGCAGCACCAGCATCCCATGTGGGTGCAGTTCATGTCCCGGCTCTTCCGATCCAGCTATTAATGGCCTGGGGAAGCAATAGACGATGGCCCAAGTGCTTGGGCCCTGCACCCAAGTGGGAGACCCATAAGAAGCTCCTGGCTCTAGCCCGGCCCAGCTCTGGCCATTGAGGCTATTTGGGGAGTGAACCAGCGGATCGAAGACCTTTCTCTCCATCTCTCCCTCTCTCTATTCACTCTACCTCTCAAATAAGTAAAAGCTTTAAAAACAAATTAAAAAAAAAAAAAAAATCCATCTTCAATACTGATACAATCAACTGGCGCGAAAGTTTGTCTTTTTAATGCAAAGGCCCTCTGAAGTGCAGTAACAGCTCACTCAGGGTGAAAAATTCTAAAAGCCAAAAAATTGTGTCTTATCAAAAACACAGCCATCAGCTGTCCCAGCTTTGAAATAACTACGTAAACAGAATGTTGCTAAGTGTGAATTGATTTCAGGCCGACCATCCTGAATCAGAAAATCCAAATCTGAAACTGAGCGCTGACCAGACGCCGCTCGGCCCTGACGTCCTGGAGAGGCTGCGGCTGAAACACAGGTGCACCTAAGACACTACACACAATCACCTTCAGACACACGTACATGTGTCCACACACAATCACCTTCAGACTCACGTACAATGTGTCTACAATCACCTTCAGACTCACGTACATGTGTCTACACACAACCACCTTCAGACTCACGTACATGTGTCTACACACAACCACCTTCAGACTCACGGGCATGTGTCTACACAATCACCTTCAGACTCACGTACATGTGTCTACACACAACCACCTTCAGACTCACGGGCATGTGTCTACACACAATCACCTCAGACTCACGTACATGTGTCCACACACAATCACCTTCAGACGCACGTAAATGTGTCTACACACAATCACCTTCAGACTCATGTACATGTGTCTACACACAATCACCTTCAGACTCACGTACATGTGTCTACAATCACCTTCAGACTCACGTACATGTGTCTACACACAATCACCTTCAGACTCACGTACAATGTGTCTACAATCACCTTCACTCACGTACATGTCTACACAATCACCTTCAGACTCACGTACATGTATCTACACACAATCACCTTCAGACTCACGTACATGTGTCTACACACAACCACCTCAGACTCACGTACATGTGTCCACACACAATCACCTTCAGACTCACGTACATGTGTCTACAATCACCTTCACTCACGTACAATGTGTCTACACACAATCACCTTCAGACTCACGGGCATGTGTCTACACACAAGCACCTTCAGACTCACGTACATGTGTCTACACACAACCACCTTCAGACTCACGGGCATGTGTCTACAATCACCTTCAGACGCACGTACATGTGTCTACACACAATCACCTTCAGACTCACGTACATGTGTCTACACAATCACCTCAGACTCACGTACATGTGTCTACACACAATCACCTCAGACTCACGTACATGTGTCTACACACAACCACCTCAGACTCACGTACATGTGTCCACACACAATCACCTTCAGACTCACGTACATGTGTCTACAATCACCTTCACTCACGTACAATGTGTCTACACACAATCACCTTCAGACTCACGGGCATGTGTCTACACACAAGCACCTTCAGACTCACGTACATGTGTCTACACACAACCACCTTCAGACTCACGGGCATGTGTCTACAATCACCTTCAGACGCACGTACATGTGTCTACACACAATCACCTTCAGACTCACGTACATGTGTCTACACAATCACCTCAGACTCACGTACATGTGTCTACACACAATCACCTCAGACTCACGTACATGTGTCTACACACAACCACCTCAGACTCACGTACATGTGTCTACACACAATCACCTTCAGACTCACATACATGTGTCTACACACAACCACCTTCAGACTCACGTACATGTGTCTACACACAACCACCTTCAGACTCACGGGCATGTGTCTACACACAATCACCTTCAGACTCACGTACATGTGTCTACACACAACCACCCTCAGACTCACGGGCATGTGTCTACACAATCACCTTCAGACGCACGTACATGTGTCTACACACAACCACCTTCAGACTCACGTACATGTGTCTACACACAATCACCTCAGACTCACGTACATGTGTCCACACACAATCACCTTCAGACGCACGTACATGTGTCTACACACAATCCCTTCAGACTCACGTACATGTGTCTACACACAATCACCTTCAGACTCATGTACATGTGTCTATACACAATCCCTTCAGACTCACGTACATGTGTCTACACACAATCACCTTCAGACTCACATACATGTGTCTACACACAATCACCTTCAGACTCACGTACATGTGTCCACACACAATCACCTTCACTCATGTACATGTGTCTACAACCACCTTCAGACGCACGTACATGTGTCTACACACAATCCCTTCAGACTCACGTACATGTGTCTACACACAATCACCTTCAGACTCACGTACAATGTGTCTACACAATCACCTTCAGACACACGTACATGTGTCCACACACAATCACCTTCACTCATGTACATGTGTCTACAACCACCTTCAGACGCACGTACATGTGTCTACACACAATCACCTTCAGACACACGTACATGTGTCCACAATCACCTCAGACTCACGGGCATGTGTCTACACACAATCACCTTCAGACACACGTACATGTGTCCACAATCACCTACACCTACACAAAATACAAATGATTCTGTGTTGAGACTTCAGTCTCATCCCCAAAACATCTTGTATGCACAAATATTCCAAAATCCTGAGCAGCTGTCCTGGCCCAAGAACAGCAGACAGGGTTATTCGGCCTGCACTTGAAATTACTAAATGGCTGGATAATCCTCAGGGCTGTATGCTGCATCCCTATCACAACCAAGCTGCGAAGCACCACGGCCACGCCGTGCTCCCACCCTGCAGGTAACCTTGTCTACTGATGTAGCGCCGAGAGTGCAGTCACCTGCAGTGTCCCCAGCTGCTCGGGGTCGCAGAGGAGATTGGGGTTATCTGAAGACAAGGGTGCTTACCTGGGCGAGCTCAGCAGGTGTCAGAGGGAGGCACAAAGTGCCAAGTAACACACAAGTACTTGCTACATCGTCTGGTGAGCTGAACAGCCTGTGTACCGTAGAGAGACCCGATCACTCGCAAACCACCTTGAAACTGACTCAGAGCACAGCTCACCCTTGTCACTCGGCCACTCCCTGAAGATCTGCAAGGGACACTCGTCATCATCGAGAACCATTTCCTGAGCGCCTCTGTCATCCGAATGCTGGGCTCCCGGAGGAAGCATGACCTGCGAGAGAACACAGCCGTGAATTCCCCAACTGCTGGCCGCGAGGACAGAGGTCACCGCGGAAGCACCAGATCCTGCCCCAGAGCAGCTCATCCGAAGAAAACCATCCATGAGCAGGAAAGAAACCCGTTTAATCACAAGGCTAGAGCTGCCTCAGCAGTTTTTATTCACTGCCCACAAAAAGAACTGTCTCAGGCTGCCTGCCTGTTTAATCAGAGAACTTCCCTATTGTGGGCTTCACCCTCTCCAGTTCCTGACCCAACTCTCCATTCCAACAGATGTTTCCATAGAGCAGACCCACCGGGTGAGACCCCCTGGGGTGACCACAGTCCAGCAAGACGTCAACTGGCTCCTTGTCCTGTCGGTGCCTGTCTCGGAGGTTAATTTGAGTCAGACCACTCAGCCGAGAGCAGGACGCTGGGTTCACCGCACTCATGGAAGCGCACGATGCTGAGCCGCTGTTTACCGTGTGTGGCTCTTGGTGCTCCAAGGAAACCGGAAGCAGGGCTGAACAACAGCACAGGCAGCCGAGGACACGTCCTGCCCCGGCTTCACCCTGACCAGCACACCACAGGCATCTGTGCCATCTTTATTCCCAACCTACCTGAGTTCATGTAGAAATGTGCCACCGTGTGCACACACCAAGCAGACGAGACCTTCAGCGAGCCCCACGCCTTCTCCACGACACTGCCAGCCCCTTAAGGAGCCAGGTGCGCCGGAAGCCACTCACACTGAATCGATCACGTCCTCCAGACCTCGGTGTCCTGGCATGCACCCACACTGCCCCGGGCCACACCATCCCACAGCGACCCTGGGCGCTTCCTGTCTCTGTCCCATCATGCCTTCACAGCCAAGCCACACTCAGCTGCGCAGGGCCCGTGCTCCCACCAAGCCTCCAGTCTGCCAAGCCCCCTGCCCACCTCTCCTGCCTAGCTTTGCCCACACATCCCTGGCCCCGAGTACAACCTCTCCAGGAAGCCTGCGGACTCCCAGGCTAAGTGAAAAGCCACCCTCTGCGGTCCTTCTCAGCCTTCTGTGCTCATACCCTTGTGTGCCGGCAGGGCATCCTACAAAGCGGAGACCTCAAACAGTGACCGGTGATTCTATCTGTTCCGTATCGCTAAGTGAACGAAGACTACTGGAACAGCTATGACAGCAACCTGGGAAATCAGGGATTTCTAACCCAACTTGGACAGAAAGTCGGCTCGACTTGCACTGCCAGAGCCTTCAGCGGAACAGGCAAGGGAAGAAACCGCAGAAACCGCAGCCGGAGGCGGCCTCCGGGGAAGTCGCCAAACAGCTCAAGAGGGCTGGCCAGGGCCAAGCCGCCCCGCCCCACCCCGCACCGCCCCGCACCGCCCCACCCCGCACCGCCCCGCGCTTCGGGAGGGTCCGACTCCCGCTGAGTGCTCCTTCCCTCGGGCTTTCCTCGCAACAGCCAGCGAGAAGCTACCCAAGGGGCCAGTGTCCAAGACCCTGCATCAGATGCACCTGCATGGAACCGAGCTAGGCAGACTTCACACACACACACACACACACACACACGCTCAGAGGTCACGGCGGGAGGGCGCCGGGCCCTTCACAACACTGCTTTACCCAACACTCCCAGTCGTCCATCATGGCTCGGCTTACTTTCTCTGAGTAAAGTGTACCTCCTCTCTTCCCAATAATGCTAGCCAAGGATTCCTTCTAAATAGAACAGCGGCTACGCCCCAGAGCACAGCCTTCCCGCGGGGCTCTCCTCCACGCACGCGGGGAGAACGCGGCGTCACGTGCTCAGCCGCCGCCAGCCTCGCCTCTCGCGGCTCCCACGGAAGCCATCTGCGGGAACCCCACCGCGGGCCTGCTGTTTCCTTTCTGGGAGCACGTCTCCTCCTTTAAACTGGCCAGGAGCACCTCCTCCCAGCGCGGGCTGCAGCGGAGGAGCCCACGCGGGCCCGCCTCCCGCTCCCCACAGGAAGGGGTGACAGACACAGGTCAGTCACTCCCCTGCAGGGCTGTGAAGCCCTAACCCCACCTCGGCCTCTCCCCAGGCTCCTCGCTGCCCTGCTGCCTCAGGGCCTCCTCCCCACACTTCCCCTCCGTGAGGCTGCACACGGCACTCAGCTGCTGGCTTTTCTCTTGTTTAGGTGACTGCCTTTACAAAAACAGACTATGTTTTAAAGATTTATTATTTATTTGAAAGTCAGAGCTACACAGAGAGAGGAGAGGCAGAAGGGGGGGGGGGGTCTTCCGTCAGATGGTTCACTCCCCAGATGGCTGCAACGGCAGGAGCTGTGCCGAACCGAAGCCAGGAGCCAGGAGCCCCCTCCAGGTCTCCCATGTGGGTGCAGGGGCCCAAGCACTTGGGCCATCGTCTACTGCTTTTCCAGGCCACAGCAGAGAGCTGGACTGGAAGAGGAGCAGCCGGGACCAGAACCGGCGCCCACATGGGATGCCGGCGCTTCAGCCCAGGGCGTTAACCCACTGCGCCACAGCGCTGGCTGCAAAAAACAGACTATTTTTAAAAATGTTCCCAGGTAAATGGCATAGATTAATTCATAGTGTCTGCAGATGCTGCCCTCAGCAGTCCCCTGACTCTTGCTATACATACACGACACTGCGAACACGTCATCCTTCTAGAAGCACATTCGGGAAGCACTGGCTGCTTGTGTAAGTTAGACGACACAAGTAGCATCAGCCACCGGGTTCCTAAACCATGGGTCCTGACCAGCACTGGTCCCCCGCGCCGGGCACCGCCTCCACACCGAGCACACTGTCGGCGCGTCCACACCCCCACCTGGGCACTGTGTCCACACCGAGCACACTGTCGGCGCGTCCACACCCCCACCTGGGCACTGTGTCCACACCGAGCACACTGTCGGCGCGTCCACACCCCCACCTGGGCACTGTGTCCACACCGAGCACACTGTCGGCGCGTCCACACCCCCACCTGGGCACCGCCTCCACACCGAGCACACTGTCGGCATGTCCACACCCCCACCTGGGCACCGCCTCCACACCGAGCACACTGTCGGCGCGTCCACACACCCACCTGGGCACCGCCTCCACACCGAGCACACTGTCGGCGCGTCCACACACCCACCTGGGCACTGCGTCCACACCGAGCACACTGTCGGCGCGTCCACACACCCACCTGGGCACTGTGTCCACACCGAGCACACTGTCGGCGCGTCCACACACCCACCTGGACACTGCGTCCACACCGAGCACACTGTCGGCGCGTCCACACACCCACCTGGGCACTGCGTCCACACCGAGCACACTGTCGGCGCGTCCACACCCCCACCTGGGCACCGCCTCCACACCGAGCACACTGTCGGCATGTCCACACACCCACCTGGGCACTGTGTCCACACCGAGCACACTGTCGGCGTGTCCACACCCCCACCTGGGCACCGCCTCCACACCGAGCACACTGTCGGCGCGTCCACACCCCCACCTGGGCACCGCCTCCACACCAAGCACACTGTCGGCGTGTCCACACACCCACCTGGGCACTGTGTCCACACCGAGCACACTGTCGGCATGTCCACACACCCACCTGGGCAGCCCAGACTTCCGGTCGACCCTGCCCTTCCCACTGGACAGGCTCCACTCTGGGTCCAGCGTCTTCCGCCTGGACCCCTCATCCTTGAAATATCCCTCCCTCCACTCGGGGTCTATTCTACGTCCAGTGTCTCTCAGTCTTAGCCAACTCCATCATTTGGTGGACAATGCAAGGTAGTTATGGTTTTGTTATTTTTTTAAAAAAAAGATTTGTGTATTTGTTTGAACATCAGAGAAAGAAAGAACACCGTCCACCTGCTGCTTTACTCCACGGATGGACCCAACGGCCAGGACGGGCCAGGCCAAGGCCAGGAGTCCAGAGCTTCAGCCAGGTCTTCCATGAGTGTGGGGGGGGCATCTTCCGCTGCTTTCCCAGGACATTAGTAGGGAGCTGGACCAGGACTCAAACCAGCACCCATCAGAGATGCCAGTGCTGCCGGCAGTGGCTTTACCCACCATGCCCCAAGACCAACACCGAGAGTTATGTTCCTGCCATGAATGTTTTGAAATGTCCTTATTTCATTCACTAATATCAATCTAGAAGGAAAATCATTCCACTTTACATTTAAAAGCATTGCTTCACAGTACGCCAGAAAAGACAGGTGCCAATTTTACTCCACATCCTTTATTGGAATTGGTTTCCCTGTGAACCCATTATTCTGCTTTACCCCTAGTGCTCTGAAAATTCAAAATGTGCTTTGGTTTAGGTCTTTCAAAGCAACTGTACCAGCCGGCGCCGCAGCTCAAAAGGCTAATCCTCTGCCTGTGGCACCGGCACCCTGGCTTCTAGTCCCAGTTGGGGCGCTGGATTCTGTCCCGGTTGCCCCTCTTCCAGTCCAGCTTTCTGCTGTGGCCCAGGAAGACAGCGGAAGATGGCCCAAGTGCTTCGGCCCCGCACCCACATGGGAGACCAGGAGAAGCACCTGGCTCCTGGCCTCAGATCAGCACAGTGAGCTGACCGCAGCAACCACTGGAGGGTGAACCAACAGTAAAGGAAGACCTTTGTCTCTCTCTCTCTCTCTCACTGTCCACTCTGTCAAAAAAAAAAAAAAGAAAAAAAAAGAAAAAGAAAAGCAACTGTACCATCAGCTGGCAGGCCTTTCAACCTCAAACTAAAACATCTGCAGCTATGGGATAACCCAGCATTACCACTGCACAGATACAGGACAGCCCAGCGTGACCACTGCACAGCTACGGGACAGCCCAGTGTCACCACTGCACAGCTACGGGACAGCCCAGCGTGACCACTGCACAGCCACGGGACAGCCAGTGTCACCACTGCACAGCTACGGGACAGCCAGTGTCACCACTGCACAGCTACGGGACAGCCCAGTGTCACCACTGCACAGCTACGGGACAGCTCAGCGTCACCACTGCACAGCTACGGGACAGCCCAGCGTGACCACTGCACAGCTACGGGACAGCCCAGTGTCACCACTGCACAGCTACGGGACAGCCGGTGTCACCACTGCACAGCTACGGGACAGCTCAGTGTCACCACTGCACAGCTACGGGACAGCCCAGCGTGACCACTGCACAGCTACGGGACAGCTCAGTGTCACCACTGCACAGCTACGGGACAGCCCGGTGTCACCACTGCACAGCTACGGGACAGCCCAGTGTCACCACTGCACAGCTACGGGACAGCCAGTGTCACCACTGCACAGCCACGGGACAGCCCAGTGTCACCACTGCACAGCTACGGGACAGCTCAGTGTCATCACTGCACAGCTACGGGACAGCCCAGTGTCACCACTGCACAGCTACGGGACAGCCCAGTGTCACCACTGCACAGCCACGGGACAGCCCAGTGTCACCACTGCACAGCTACGGGACAGCTCAGTGTCACCACTGCACAGCCACGGGACAGCTCAGTGTCACCACTGCACAGCTACGGGACAGCCCGGTGTCACCAATGCACAGCTACGGGACAGCTCAGTGTCACCACTGCACAGCTACGGGACAGCCCGGTGTCACCAATGCACAGCTACGGGACAGCCCGGTGTCACCAATGCACAGCTACGGGACAGCCAGTGTCACCACTGCACAGCTACGGGACAGCCGGTGTCACCAATGCACAGCTACGGGACAGCCCGGTGTCACCAATGCACAGCTACGGGACAGCCCGGTGTCACCAATGCACAGCTACGGGACAGCCCGGTGTCACCACTGCACAGCTACGGGACAGCCGGTGTCACCACTGCACAGCTACGGGACAGCTCAGTGTCACCACTGCACAGCTACGGGACAGCCCGGTGTCACCAATGCACAGCTACGGGACAGCCCGGTGTCACCACTGCACAGCCACGGGGCAGCCCAGTGTCACCACTGCACAGCTACGGGACAGCCCAGTGTCACCACTGCACAGCTACGGGACAGCCCAGTGTCACCACTGCACAGCTACGGGACAGCCGGTGTCACCACTGCACAGCCACGGGGCAGCCCAGTGTCACCACTGCACAGCTACGGGACAGCCGGTGTCACCACTGCACAGCCACGGGGCAGCCGGCGTCACCACTGCACTGACATCCTTTTCCATGTCCTGTTTTCTCTGACTGGCTCTGCTTCAACTAAGTGCCAAGAGATTCTACAAGAGTCATCTAAATTTTTTCTCTTGTACCTGCTTTTCTTTTCCTCCGTATGTATCTTCCACACGCTCATCTCAACATTTGCCCCCTCTACCGCTCATGTACTTACATTTTTAATTTCCTCTGCCTGTTCCTCGTGGAGCGCGACCCTCGTCCTCACCCCCAGTCTCTGAGCTGTCAGGCTCTGAAATGCTCTCCCCAGTTTCTTGCGCTGTCTGTCTGCATTTCAAAGGTGTGTGTCAAATGTCACTGGACCCTGGCCACACAGTCACTCACCACAGCAAGTCCCCAGCAAGTGGAATGTCACCTCTATGCTGCTGGGAGCTCTCAGAGTGAGGTCACCGGGCAGAATGTCCACAGGCCCTCCTCCTCTTGGGAGCCAGTGCTTTGGGAGCGATTTGTCAAGCTGGCCGTGAATATTGTGAATATTCGGCGTACACCCTGCTGTGGCACCTCCTGTTTTCAGCAAGGACCTGTGCTCTCTGTTTTGTCTGCTACCTCGCAGCCCAGGGGCTCCCATCGACACCCATGCCCAGCCCCACTGCAGCCTCTCCCTGGGCTCAGCTGGACACGTGATACAGCAGCCGGGACAGAGCAGGGCTGGAGGGGCTCCCCACTTCCACCAAGACTTTCAACCACGCAGCATTGTTCTTTTCAGCCTGGCTTTGGCACTGCCTTAGCAACACCCACGCCTCCGCCCCCCACCTCCTGGGAGGGGCTCGGCAGCCCTCCCCCCAAGCTTCTCTGGGCTGCTGGACGGAGGCCACACTCAGCCCGCAGGGCTCCACCAACCCCACACTCCTCTCTCCCCTACTCTTGTGCACTGCTACTTTTATTATCTGTCATTCGAATGTGAGAAAAGCGCTTCTTTTCCATCCATTTTCGGCCGAACACGACCACATTCACAAAACTATGCATCTACTAGCTTTCCCCCCAAAAATTTAATTTCTCTGCTTTTCAGCACGAAGCAAAGCAAAGCAGCGTCTTCCACTTATTTCCACCTGTAGCTGACAGACAAGGCACAAACCTGGCTGGCCACACGGCTGAGAGGCCTACAGGCAGAAAACAAGAGCTACGCTCTGCCCAGACTGGGATAGAACGCTGTTGGCACAGGATGCCCACGTCCAACCACAGATGTAAAACTCCCCCGTCACAAGTACAGAAACTGACACGCCGGCTTTCAAATTCGTATGCAAATGAAAATAACCTAGAATACAGCAATTTTTAAAAGCAACACACAGACCTACACTGGCAGTTTGATAGTTTCTAAATGGCATGTAGGTCTCCCACGGGACTGACGCTCGCGGTGCTGAGCGCTTCCCGAGACCTGTGCATGTCGCACACACAGCTCCATCTGCAGGCGCCAAGCTGAGCAGGGGACAGCACAAACGTCCGTCAGCAGGAGAGTGGACCCCTCACATCGACTCCCAGAAGCCAAGCGGAGAGCAGCACGTGCTGCACATTCCACAAGACAGCGGCCACATCTGCCTGGGGACGCAGCCCAGGGGAAGACTGGGTCACAGAGGCCAGGAACCTCAGAATTGACAGCATTATTTCATTTCTCAATAATTTCAGAGAGAAAAAGTAAAACAAGTAGTCACTCGATTTTAGCATTCAACAATCACTTGCTAAGAGAAGAGAATGGGAGACATCCTTGCTTTAAAATCTATGGTCAGGGGCCGGCGCTGTGGCACACTAGGTTAATCCTCCACCTGCAGCGCCGGCATACCATACGGGCACCGGTTCTAGTCCCGTTTGCTCCTCTTCCAGTCCAGCTCTCTGCTGTGGCCCGGGAGTGCAGTGGAGGATGGCCCAAGTGCTTGGGCCCTGCACCTGCATGGGAGACCAGGAGGAAACACCTGGCTCCTGGCTTTGGATCAGTGCAGCTCTGGCCGTTGTGGCCATTTGGGGGGCAAACCAAAGGAAGGAAGACCTTTCTCTCTGTCTCTCTTTCACTGTCTGTAACTCTACCTGTCAAATAAATAAATCTTAAAAAAATAAAATCTATGTCAGCTAAAGACTGATGGAGACACACTGCTCATAAAGAAGTGTAACTTGTGAGTTTAAGAATTTTCAAGGTTATGTTACAGTACGATACCACCTGATCCTACTTAGTGCTACCCAAGCAATTCTGGGGCACAAAATGCTGCTGTATTTCTTGAGTACTAGAACCAAAGAAATTTTTTATCTCTAAGAAATTATACCTGACTGCTAACATTACTGAAAATAAAATTTAGTGACCTATTAAGAAAAACAAGTTGGAAGAACACGTAACAAAAAGCTGATAGTGTGTGTGGTGACTGGTAGCAGAATCAGGGTAACTTCTATTTTCATTAATTTGTCTTTTATGCTTTTCTTATTTTATACAGTAACTAATACTACTTCTACTATGGAGAAGAGACTGCTGTATTGCTACATGTATTTATCACATGGCTTCAATTAATGATTCTAATGACACAGTGGGGACAAAGTCAGCCCAGGTCTAACAGACTTATGGAACATCTTCACTGATACACAAACTCTTGGCACGCGTCAGACGGACTCCGGACACGGGGCAGGGCCCGATAAGACACGCACGTGAAGCACTCGCTTACCCTAGCCAGGCAGTAATCCTTGGGGTTCTCTTTCTCCAGGCCATACTTCTCCAGCGCCTCAGCCACAGCGAAGTCTGCAGGATCCGTAGTGGACAGCAGGATCGTCTTGTAGGGAATATTTGGCTTTAAGCTGTCTGCGTAGATCCTCAACGTCCCACCTGAAAGAAACGGACACACGTCCCTGAGCACAAGCTGGGCCAGTAAGAGAAGTGACGCCGCAGCTGCTCACGGGAGAGCACAGAACCGCCGACCGGTGCTCTCAGCCCTGCCCGCGACGCCCACCAGCCTCTGCCACAGGGAACAGCCTCTTACGGCCGCCGTTCAAGCCACGCGTCGCCCTGTGATGCCTGACTCGCGTTCTCAGAGCGCCCAGACAGGAAGGACGCCCGAGTTTCCAGAGCTGCTTCCTTCACCCTCCCTCCCCGCCTCGCCCACTTCCCTCTGCCCCCTCCCGATCACCTGGCTCCCGCTTCCAGGGACAGAACCCGCTCAGTCAGGCCATCGCAGGGACCCAGATCTGCGCCCAGGGTTCTTCACGGGGCTCTGCCTCCAGAGCAGGGCTGCAGGCCCCCTCCAGGGACGGCAGATGGGACCGCCACTCTCCACTGCGCGCCCGTGGGAGCACGGCACGGGGCCGTCCTGCGGTGCTCCGTTCTGTCTGCAGGGTCCTCTCTTGTGGAGCTGTGATGCATGGTGCATCATCCCCTGCAGTCCACTTACAGCCCAGGTTTAATCAGCCCTACAAGCTCCGTCCCCACGGGGACAGTGGAGGAGAAGTGAGGCCGGCCCTCTGCACACCGCCACAGTGCATGGGGGACATTCTGACTTCTCCAGGCCTCGCATCCTCACTGCCAAGCCGGAGAGCCAGGCCCTGCAGCCCCCGGTGTGGGCTCTGACCTCCTGGCAGTCACTGTGGCTACTGAATCACCTCCCACTCTGTATTCTCTTTGCATAAGTCTGGTACAAACTGCAATGTGCTCGCTTAACGCACATGAAAGAATGTTGATGTTTCAAGAAGTCACCCAGACAGCGCTGTGACTGCAGATCTGCTGAGCCAGGCCAGGGGTACCCTCAGCACACACAGACTCACGCTGCCCAACGGGGCGACAGGGCGTGCGCCCGTCTTCGAAGGGCAGCGTTCCAGTGGGAAGGGGGACCGCAGGGGAGAGCACTCACAGGAAAACACGCCACGAGGATGGCGGTCGCCGAGAGCTTCCTGAACCCTGCTGAGTCAGCCAAGACCAGCACTTGAGCTGGGCCCTGGGAGCAGGCTCTCCCCACGCCTCACTGCAGCCCTCCCTCGGCACCTGCCACTCTGCTGGCAGCTGCCGACCTGACGGTGCTTACAGGAAGCGCACGTGCAGACAGGGCCCAGCGCCTCCAGACTGAACCCATCCAACCACCAGAGCAGAAGGGCTTCCGCTGTGACCCCTGAAGAAGCAAGCCGACACCCTCACCCAGCCGCTGCAGAGAACACCAACGGCCAGACGGCTGACTTTGCTGAAGCGATTTACTCCCGCTAAATGCCTGGGTAAGTACCTGGGGGTCCCAAATTTGCAGACCGCAGAGCTCCAAAGACTATCTGGTCTGAAAAACTTCAAGGCTGGAACCTCACGGGCATGACTAAGACACGCAGTGCGGCACCACGGCCACCCGATCCCGAGCGGCACTCCACTTCCGGTGCAGGACAGACACAGCCGCAGGCGGTAGCTCCCGGCAGCCTCTCGCTTACGTCAGGCGGAGCGTTCTAGAACTTCCGTCTAAGCCCGTGACTGGGTTCTAGTGAACTGAGGTTCAGGCACCCAACACACAGGCAGGAAGCAGCTACAGAGCACCTCAGATGGGCTTAGTCCGAAAAGCCGAAGGCACAGCGATGCCACGGGAGACACCACCGCCCAGCACGGAGAAACGTGCCAACACCGTGAAGCTCCCGGCACGGCACGGACCCAGTCCGCTCTGCCGACAGGGTTCACCGCAGACTGCTGCCCATTCTGCAAGCGAACACACGAGGCACACGGCCCACGCACGGGCCTAGCACCTCTGCACGCGCGGGTGCAGCGTGAAGCTGAGGGAGAGGCAGCAGCAGCTCCCCGGGACTCTCCATGAGTCTGCACACCTTTCTCAGTGTGGGCGGGACCCGCGCGGTGCCGGGGCCGAGTACTGGTGCCCCAGTCATGAGCCGACACGGGACAGCCCAGGGCGTCTCGGGCCCCTGCACACTGAGGACACCACAAAGCCAGGGCAAAGCTGGTGGGGGGTTCACCGCACTGCTGTTCAGCAAAATGAGCTGAGGCGCATACAAATCCCATCACCAGAACCTGGGGCGAGAGGGGAGGGGGGAGGGGACCTGGGGGGAGAGGGGAGGGGGGAGGGGACCTGGGGGGAGGGGGAAGGGGGGAGGGGAGCTGAGGGAGGGGGGAGGGGGGAGGGGACCTGAGGGAGGGGGGAGGGGTGGAGGACCTGGGGAGAGAGGGGAGGGAGAAGGGGACCTGGGGCGAAAGGGGAGGGGGGAGGGGACCTGGGGGGAGGGGGGAGGGGTGGAAGACCTGGGGAGAGGGGGGAGGGAGAAGGGGACCTGGGGAGAGAGGGGAGGGGTGGGGGACCTGGGGTGAGGGGACCTGGGGTGAGGGGTGAGGGGTGGGGGACCTGGGGTGAGGGGACCTGGGGGGAGGGGTGGGGGACCTGGGGAGAGGGGGAGGGGGGAGGGGACCTAGGGTGAGGGGGGAGGGGACCTGGGGTGAGGGGGGAGGGGGGAGGGGACCTGGGGGGAGGGGGAGGGGGAGGGGACCTGGGGAGAGGGGGAAGGGGTGAGGGGACCTGGGGGGAGGGGGGAGGGGACCTGGGGGGAGGGGGGAGGGGGGAGGGGACCTGGGGGGAGGGGGAGGGGGAGGGGACCTGGGGAGAGGGGGGAGGGGGGAGGGGACCTGGGGTGAGAGGGAGGAGGGTCTCCGGCCGCCATCCTCAGGGGAAGCGGCACCCGCAGACGCCGTGTCCCCGCCCATGCTGCAGATGAACTCCAGAGCAGGGCAGTCACAGCGGATTGCAGGGCTCTGGTTTTCTGAACACGTTATTAATGAAAACAAACAAGAAGCTGAGCGCTGTGGCTTCCCGGATATCAACCTCCAACAGTTCTGCTAAGGAAATTTGGCCTCCTACAGCTTCCTGGGCATCCTACAGACACGCCCACCTGGGACAGACACGCCCACCTGGGACAGACACGCCCACCTGGGAGGGTCGGCTGCTTCTGCTCTGAGGGCCTCTGCCCTCTGCCCTCTGCCCTCTGCCCCCTGACGAGTCTCCTAACCACTCTGGCATCTTACTCACTTCCACCCACACCTGGCGATGCTGCCTCCCGTGGCCACGTGTCTCCCAATCTGCCGAAGGGCTCTGGCACAGCGCCTCTGACCCGGCAGCCGGGGGCTCCCTTCTCCCCCATCACCGAATCTGATCACTGCAGAAAACCCAGCTCCCCCGACAAGGCCTTCCGCCCTGCCACCCAGCCACCTCCACACAACTGGAACCAGGGCTTGTCCGTGAAGCCGGGCCTGCTGGGGGCCGCTCTCGTGTCACCTCTCCACCGCCTAGGCCGCTCCCTCTAGGCCCCACGTCGCGGCTGAGCCGGGCGCTTACTCCTCTCACAGGCAACGCAACCTCTCAAGGCCACGCCACCTCTAATCACGGTTCCCAAGCCCATTTCCCTCTCCTCCACCTGACCTCCCGGACTGAGCCTCTACACTGAAAGCTCTCTAAATCCCTGCTTAAAATTCTTCCGCAGCTTACTAAGGAAGAGCATAGAACGGTCCCACCGCAGTGCACCCAGTGGCAGCGAAGACATGAGAAACTTCCTAGTTTACCTTTAACACTGCACTGAATTCACACTGAAGCATCGCATTATAAAAACACGGCTTTTACTTATAAACACTAATACTCTAAGCTACCGACCTTCACCATGCCTCACACCCCACCCCACCCCCGCCGAGGCCACCCGACTGCACCCCCGGGGACCAGGGACTCCTGCTCAGGAACCACCGTGACGACGCTGCCACACTGCCGCCGTGACAACGCTGCCACGCTGCCGCCGTGACGACGCTGCCACGCTGCCGCCGATGACGCTGCCACACTGCCGCCGCGGCACACCGCCTCCGGGTCTGGCACACAGCAGCACACGCCTGTACTGTCTGTTGGTACATGTGCTTGTACGTCATTTCCTGCCTGCCTGAGCAGCACAGGACACGTGTCAAAGAAACCAGGCGGGTCCTGACAGGCATCTGGTGTGGTTTTTACAGAACCAGGAAGCCCTCCCTCTCCAGCTGCTGCAGATCCAGCACGACGCGTCCTTGAAAGTGTGATGACGACTCGGGGCTCCGGACAAGCAGGGAAGGCCGGCGCAGAAGCAAAGCTCCAGGCCAGCGGCTACCTGGACACCTAATAGCACACGGCAACGTCTCTGTCACAGGGCGGGGCAGGGCGACCCGTACCCACACCCACAGTCCCTGGAGCTGCCTGCCACGTCTGCGTGTCCCCACGGCTTTCACGTGCTGACGTGTGGTCCTCCGGTCAAGTATGAAGTATGAAATTAACCTGACCACGGTGTTTGCAGGACCAGACAGGGCCACTCGGGTGGGGCCCCAGACTGAATCCTGGTGCCTTCACGAGGGAGCCAGCCCAGAAGAGGCGCTCACGCAGCACAGGCCCACACGCCCCCTCGGGGCTCTCCTCCCTAAACCTTACCCCGCCTCTGGTGCAGGAGACAGTGAGTGAGTGGACATGGGCTGGGAGGGGCTGCTAACAGGCAGTGGGGCCCATGAGGCCACAGCGCACACGGACAACCTGAGCACACGGCAAAACCCTTGGCGCTCAGGCGTGTTCTCAGAGAGCAAAGGGTTAAAATCAAGCATTTCTTCTGGTCAGAGCACTGCCAGCAAGGCTTTATGCAGCAAACCTGCCGTTCAAACGGGCAGCCTCTGCGTCCGCCGTATTCAGGCAGGCGCACCGCACACAGCACGAGTCGGCCTCGCGGCCCCCGAACGTGACACTGCAAAGGAATCGTGGGGCAGAAGGCACTAAAGCGGAACGGCCCTCTAGGGTAAGGATCACTTTTGAAACAAGTCATTACACCATTATCTAACAAGCAAAATTATTTTGTAGCAAACTTTAATTCTGTTAAGTCTCTTTCCGTCGGCTGCAATGAAAAGCTAATGATAAATAAAAGTTTTAAGTGAAATAACTAAAAATATACAAAACTAACTTGTAGCTCAAAGAGTAAAGTCACTTGCTTCACCGCTCTGATCTGCACGGCCCTCAGAAACAGAGCCTTCTCCAGGCCACACAGCCAAGGCAGGAGGCGGCCGGAAGGCCTGCACGGACCCCTGCCCTACAGGGACAAAAGCTGGCCTCCTGAAACACACCTGGTTACCTTGCAGGTCGCTGTTGAAACTACCAAGCGTGGAAGACATAAATCCCTAGAAGAGAACCTGAGTGCAAAGCCACACAGGAAGGTGACCCCGCGGGAGCCAGTGCAGCGGACGCCGTGCCCCTCGGCAGTCTCAGGAAACGTGGAACGCTCGGGCGTCACGATGCTGGGATAATTCTTACTGTTACACCACGATCACATAGCACAGAAAGAAATCACGCTAATTTACATGGTTAGGAAGCAAGACTTCCTGCAGAAGACACTCGGACTTTCTAAAGCCAAGACAGTTTAAAGGAACAGGTCTGGACGGGAAACGGAGATGACTGGCCGTCCCATCACACGGGAGGCTACCCAAGAGCCCCGGGGTCAGCCAAGGCCCAGGGGCCGGCCAGAGGAGACTCCCGTCGCCAGCTGGTGATTCCAGAACAAGGAGGGCAGGGACAGCAATGGATCAAACACCGGCATTTAAATCCAAGAGCCCATTAAAAAGGTCTAAAACTCACTGGTCCCCTGTCGAGGACACTATGGCAACTCCTCGAGAGCTGCAGGCTTCGGGTTTACCTAATCCAGGAAACAAATAGGCGAAGAGGGGAACGGTAACCAGCGACAAGCGACGCGGTCAGCGACATTCGCAAGCAATGACCGAGTGCTTCCCACAGGCTGGGGGGTGAGCAGAGACAGACAGAAAAACCGACTGTCAGCTGAGAGGTGCGGGCGTCGCTGGAGTCTCTGGAAGTGTCTGAGGCACCCCGGGGAGCCACGATGGTGCCGGGCCACAGCAGCGGTGAGGAATTACCGTCAGTTCAGCTCCTGCAACCGTGGTCACAGCACTGCGCTGTTACAGGACAGCGTCCTTCAGGAGAATTCAGGAGAACACTCCCGCGGACGCAGTGACTCGCCTGGTAACGGAGGCAATGCTGCTGGAGCCAGGACACACGAGCTGCTAACGACCACAACCTGTACCTCGTCTCTTCCCCGTATATCTGAAATTTCCCAACATGAAAAAAAACAACCAGCAATACATGCCCGGCAGGAACCGTGGACTAAGCCCGCGTCTGGTGAGGAGGCCACGCCGGGAGCACCTTGTTAGAAAGCGCAGTCGTACATCAAGGACAAGTAAACCCCCCCAGACGGAGCAGAGAAGCACGCGGGCTCCCACCTGAATCAGGCCGCCCGTCGGAGCTTCGGAATTCCTGCATTCTCTTCTCCAACTTCTGCTGCCTCCGTCGCTTCATGACCACCTCCGGGTTGGAAATGGTTCGCGTGAAGCTGGTCTCGGGCATGTCCTTGTACACCTCGGCTGCCAGGCGCGAATTCTCACTGTGGGGAAAAGCACAGGCGCCCTTCAGTCACCGCTCCAGTAAGTACAGCCGCCCTTCAGTCACCATTCCAGTAAGTACAGCCGCCCTTCAGTCACTGTTCAAGTACAGCCGCCCTTCAGTCACCATTCAAGTACAGCCACCCTTCAGTAACCGCTCCAGTAAGTACAGCCGCCCTTCAGTCACCGTTCCAGTAAACACAGTCATCCTTCAGTCACCCACCAATCACACAAAGTCAAAACAGCAGAGGTACCCGGCTACCTCCACAGCCTAACAGTGTGTCCTGTGCCATCTGCCCGGTGCTCATCACTATGAGACCGTAATTAAACTGTGTGAGTTTATTTAACTGTTGTGTTTTCCAGAAAGCTCTAAGGGACAGGGCAGATGAGACAGCTTAGCGGTTTCTACCAGTGTCGTCCTAAAACAGATAACAGGGTGATACGATACCACAACATTCCAACGAGAAATAAAGAGGATTAAATCTATTTTACTAAAACCCCGTCTCACTGTATACAATGATGAGCTGAAAAGTAAAGATAAAAAGCAGTTATACTTGGCTAAGCTTTATACATGTACTTTTAAATTTTTTAATAAAATAGTTTGATTAAAAATCAGGTAAACTTTTAAAAAAGTCAAGTTGAACATTTTAAGCAATTCATTTTCCCAAATGTACTACTTCCTAAACGGAGCTGACACACAGAACCATCAGACAGCCCGAGTGTTAGACCCTGCTCGTCCTTGGTTTGCCTCCGAAATGAGGACTCTCCCTGCGCAGACGTCTGTGCCCTGCTTGTGTGCTACGTGCTCAGGGATTGACTGCCTGGGCCACGCTGCCCTGCGGAGAAACAGCTGAGGACTCGCGGGCCATCCCACGTCCACACCAAGGAAACATTATTCAGAGACAACTGTTTAACATCCTCAATACATAAACAACACCTACACTGCGGGGAGACAAGCTTTACAAGAGCAAACAGGCTCAGTGTGTGAAAAGACAGCACCTTACTACAGACAAAGCGAAGTCGGCTGCTCGGACAGGCACTGAACAATTACAGCGCCAGGGAAGCGGCACTGGAAAACAACGCAGTTGGTACCGACCGACAGCAAGCTGCCCGTGCCTGAACCGCTGGCCGCAGACGGTGGCCAGGAGCTGCCCGCTCCAAGGAGGCAGAAGGCCCAGTTCTGCTGTCTCCGCTGTTTCAATGAAAACACGGTGATTCTCTCACTTCTTCAGCTCTGTGGCCAGAGCGCTCACACCTCCTGGGTAAAGTGTACAGTAGGAAGGGGCCGTGGACCCGCCAAGGGGACATCTGCTTTTCTGCCTGGCCTTGCCAACCTCCGACCAGGAGCCAAGTGCACCTCAAGTACAAAAGGAAGCACTGCTCCTTCAGTGACCAGAGCCACAGAAGCGAGAAGAGGACCCGCAGAGGAGACCCCTGGCGTGGGCGTCCACCAGTGCGAACCAGGGAGTGCCTGGGGCTTCCAGAGCGCACGCATGGGCGGGGGGGGGGGGTCCCGTCAGCGACAAACCCCGGTCCGTGACACCCCGTCATCTCCCTGACAGGGCGAGAAGCGGATCCAAGTACAACGCACGCCTGACGGCCAGGCTTCCAGCAACGCCCCCGCGGCACACACTCACACGTCATCCCCGGGGAGAGGCCGGTCCTCCCGGTCGGACGCCTGTCTCAGGGCCTCTTTTTCTCTCTTCTTCTTTTCCTTCTTCTCTTTCTTCGAGAGAGTTCTCTTGAAATTCTGGATGACGCCTTCTTTCTCTTGCTTCTCAGGTCCATTACTTTGAGCCTTCTGATAAAAGGAACGTTATCAACACGTCGGCCCTGCAGTTACCACGCAATCACGGCACCTGCTAGCCCAGGACAAAGCTACGGGACACAGAAAGGTCTAGGATGGACGTTATCTTCACTGGGCTGACGGCTACACGGCTGCATGTGTCAAAACCAAACCGCATACTCAAGACTGTGTATTTCATCACAGACAAACTTAACTCAATTTAAAAGCAACAAGCAAGCAACACAACAAAGCCACTGATAAAACTGTGGTGGGAATCATGAAAGCCGAATTTCAATGAATAAAATTCTAGTAATTTGCATAAAGTGATTTGAATAAAAGGAATCTAATGAAAACACGGGCATCTGGAGCCTAAATCATCATCTACTGCGCAGACGTTCTTCCTCACTTCAACAGAAACCATGAGTGACCACAGCAAACCAGCTTGTATCAATCAGTTTTAGATACTGCGTTTGTGCAAAAAATTTCTAACTTATTTCCAGAACTTGTGGATTTGCCTGCTTATTCTTAATTTATATTTTAACCTGCAAAACAGGCCGGCTAGACAAGGACACGGGACCATAGTATTTTTTATGTGTAACTTAAAAAGTGAAGAATTAGGAGAAAGAAAAGCCATGGTTACTGTACTGGGAAACAAGTCCCACCTCCTTCGTTGTCAAGGGACAAAGAGCGGTGCCACTTCCGTCTCCATCCACGGTGTTACAGCCCCGCCCCCCAGAGCAGCTCACAGCGTCAGGGCCGCTCCGCAGGGCCCAGAGGCGCGCACTGCCGAGCCCACAGTGCAGACACAGCTACGGGCGCCCACTGCACCTCACAGCTGGCGCTGCGCACACACGTCCCCGGGGCACAGGCCCTAGCAAGGCCAAGGGGAAGCCTGTGTGTGCCCAGGACTCCTGCGCAGGGAGCACGGACATCAGACAAGATAAAAACCCTGCTGTGAAAGCAAATTCCCATCTTGTTGGGGGGGGGGGGGGATTTAGCCGGTTTTCCTCAGTTATTCTTAACCTTTGCATCTGCTACCACTCATGAATCTGAACTCCTACATAAAGTGCCACTTGCTTGAACACCAACTGAGTACTTCCTTCCACGTGCATCGGGACTCCACAGGATTCCATGAAGCAGCGCGATGGTGCGGAATTCTGGACCCTCGACCCCCGGGGAGCCTCGGAATCAGAGCATCGCACCCCCCGAAGGACCCGAGTGAGCACCTGCTTGCTGACCTTCCGCGAGCGGAAAAGGCTTCAAATGCGCCTTCTGATGCCGCAGCAGGAAGCCAATACAGGAGTAAGTTTATTTTTGTTTGGTTTTTTAAAGATTCATTTATTTATTTGAAAGGCGGATTTACAAAGAGGCAGAGAGAGAGAGGTCTTCCATCCGCTGGTTCACTCCCCAGAAGGCCGCAACAGCCAGAGCTGAGCAGATCCAGGAGCCAGGAGCTTCCTTGGGGTGGGTGCAGGGGCCCAAGGGCTTGGGCCATCTTCCACTGCTTTCCCAGGCCACAGCAGAGAGCTGGATGGGAAGTGGAGTAGCCAGGTCTCGAACCAGTGCCCATATGGGATGGCAGCACTGTGGACAGCAGCTTTACCTGCTCACCGCAGCGCCAGCCCCAGTAAGCAAGTTTACTGATGACACAAACAGGTCAGCAATAAAGGATAAAGCGGAAGGGGTGGGGGCTTTCATGGTATCTTCCGGGAGGAGGGCACAAGAGTTTAGAAAGAGAAGCCTCGGGGAGCCGGCGCTGGGGCACAGCGGGTGAAGTCGCCAATTACGGCACCGGCATGAAATACGGGCGCCAGTTCAACTCCCAGCTACGCCAATTCCCATCCAGCTCGCTGCCGTGGCCTGGGAGAGCAGCAGAGCACGGCCCACGTGCTGGCCCCTGCTCCCGCGTGGGAGACCGGAAGAAGCTCCTGGCTCCTGGCTCCGGGCTGGCCCAGCTCTAGCCATGCAGCCATTCGGGGAGTGAACCAGCACTTGGCAGATCTCTCTCTCCCCCGCTCCACTCTCTTTCAAGTAAAGTACATAAATCCTCGAAAAACCCAGAAAGTTCTCTAAGGCAGCCTCAGGCTCCCGCGCGGCCCGGGAGGGCGGCCGACCCACCTTCGGAGCGGCGGCGGCGGCGTTCTCGTTCTTCAGCACGAACCTGCCCTCGCGGTCGTCCTTGCTCCAGTTCAGCTGCACGACCAGCGGCTTCTCGTCCACATGCAGCCTTCTTTCTTCTTCACAGCATGAAACGAACGAGAAGCCACGTTACTCGACGGCGCCCACGGCCGCCTCCCACACGGCGGTCACGGGGGGCCCGGAGCGCTGACCCAGCCTCCCACACGGCGGTCACGGGGGGGGGCCTCCCACACGCGGCGGTCACGGGGGGCCCGGAGCGCTGACCCAGCCTCCCACACGGCGGTCACGGGGGGGGGGCCCTCCCACACACAGCGGTCATGCAGGGCCTCCCACACGGCGGTCACACAGGGCCTCCCACACGCGGCGGTCACGGGGGGCCTCCCACACGCGGCGGTCACGGGGGGCCTCCCACACGCGGCGGTCACGGGGGGCCCGGAGCGCTGACCCAGCCTCCCACACAGCAGTCACGGGGGGGGGGCCTCCCACACGCGGCAGTCACACAGGGCCTCCCACACGCGGCAGTCACACGGGGCCTCCCACACGCGGCGGTCACGGGGGGCCTCCCACACGCGGCGGTCACGGGGGGCCTCCCACACGCGGCGGTCACACAGGGCCTCCCACACGCGGCGGTCACACAGGGCCTCCCACACGCAGCAGTCACGGGGGGCCCGGAGCGCTGACCCAGCCTCCCACATGGCGGTCACGGGGGGGGGGGCTCCCACACAGGGCCTCCCACACGCGGCGGTCACGGAGGGCCTCCCATACACGGCAGTCACACAGGGCCTCCCACACACGGCGGTCACGGGGGGCCTCAGGCGCTAACGCAGCCTCCCACACGCAGTGGTCACGCGGGGCCCCAGCGCCCACTGGCAGGGGAGAGCTGAGTTTTAGCTAACATTCTACTGCAACTAATGTCACTGGCGCACAGTGCCAGACGCTGCGCAGACCTAGCTGGAAAACAGGAGAAGCAGAATGAGCCAGGGAAAAGTACGGAGTTCCCACCACAGCCTCTTTCACAAACCCAAGCGTCTCCCATGTGACCGAGAAACAAAGGACTAACGTCAGTATCAGAGGGGCTTCACGTACGAGCGTCTTCTTACCACGTTAATTTTTATATCCTACAAAGAAAAGGCAGCAAGCCACCCAGAGACGGTGGCACTGTCCTTGCTACTGGTGTAGATCCACCCGTCTCAAGGCGTCCGGCGGCGCCCTCCCTTCCCCACCATCGCTGCTAGGTTTGGCACACCACGTTTATTCAGAACCCAAGCGGCCTGGCAGGCACTCTGATCGCAAAGTGCTTCCCACAGAGGGACCTGAGAATCCACACAGCCTGGGGCAAACGCAGGCCCGCGGCAGGGTGGAGGCTCTGATGAGGGACCCCTCCCCTCCCAGGACCCCTGCACAGGGCGGAAGCTCTGATGAGGGACCCCTCCCCCTCCCAGGACCCCTGCACAGGGCGGAGGCTCTGATGAGGGACCCTTCCCCCTCCCAGGACCCCTGCACAGGGCAGAGGCTCTGATGAGGGACCCCTCCCCCTCCCAGGACCCCTGCACAGGGCGGAGGCTCTGATGAGAGACCCCTCCCCCTCCCAGGACCCCTGCACAGGGCGGAGGCTCTGATGAGGGACCCCTCCCCCTCCCAGGACCCCTGCACAGGGCGGAGGCTCTGATGAGGGACCCCTCCCCCTCCAAGGACCCCTGCACAGGGCGGAGGCTCTGATGAGGGATCCCTCCCCTCCCAGGACCCCTGCACAGGGCAGAGGCTCTGATGAGGGACCCCTCCCCCTCCCAGGACCCCTGCACAGGGCGGAGGCTCTGATGAGGGACCCCTCCCCCTCCCAGGACCCCTGCAGCAGGCGGATGTGGCTCCATCTCCCCCTACATTCCCCAGGAATCTTCCTCAATCCTTGGAGAAATCCATTCACCATGTGTGCACTTCCAGTCGCACAAGCCACCGTTGCAGACGGCTCTGAGTGACCCGTCCGGCCTTTCTCCTCTTAGTATCTGTACGTGAGAGCTTTCAGAAACAGCTGCAGGCCGGCATCTCCCCAGCTGAACGTCAGGACTGAACGCTGTCATGAAACGGAAGTGCTTACGGAGGGACTGGCTGCTGCTGGGATCTGTGCCCTCCTCCAAGCACCGCTCTGCGCATCCGCCCCTCCTGCACCACGTCCCTGTCAGCACGCAGCATGACTAGCACGCGGGAGACAGTGCACGGGCCACCCAAGTGCACTGCAAAATGGATTCCACAGCTTGCAGACGGTCAAAAGTATGTGATGTGCATGGCAGGGATCCTAAAACCCGGCCCGAATCTGCACCAACGGTGACGAGCGTAAGGGCAACGCAGCTAACGAGCAACCGCAGACAGGAACAACCGCTGACCGCCGGATCTCCGAGAGCAGAGATAGGGCCGCGCAAGACCAGGAGAGGCTCCGCGCCCGCCAGCCTCAGCCAGCCGCGGCCCGCGGGGAGCAGCCTGCCGGCACCAGCTCCCGTGGTGTCACAGGAAACCAAGGACAAGTCCGGGGCGAGGTCTCCGGTTCGTGAACTGGCCACACTTGAAACTGCAACTCTGGTCGACGTGAGATGGACTTCACGCTTCAGAGTGAGGTTCTTGTTTAAGTGGGTCACTTTTAAAGGAGCCGTCTACAGAAGCATCACCTTGAATAAGAGGCTGCTACGACAAAACACTACTTGAGGAACACGAGGACGGACCGCGGAACAGGTCAGCACTCGGGGCGAGCAGCAGCGCCGACTGTCCCAGGAAACGCGCAGGCAGGAGGACAGCACTGTCCCGGCAGTGGAGTCTCGACAGGGCAGGGACTCCCCTTCAACGCTACACCAGGACACCGGGTCGCCCTCCACCCGCTCAGGGCAGAAGGCGGCATCACGACGACGAGGGTGGCAATGACGACTTGATGCGGTGCTGACCGAGGTCACCCAGGTGACAGCCGAGATCCACACCACAACGCACACTGAGACTGCCGGGCACGGGCAGAGGTCGCGAGAGCTCCCAGAGAGGAGTTAGAGACAGTGAAGCCTTCCAGGGGCCCCCGTCACCGTGGGACGGGGCAGGGAAGCGGCATCTGAGCACATTGCAGACGTTCTGGTTATTTTACCGGCTGGAACCGTGGACAGAAAATCAGAGTCACCAATCAGGACAGAATCAATCTGAACTGCCATGACCAACGCTGGCAGTGTCCTGCCGCGAGATCACACCGGTCAGCACGGTGTTAGAGAACGGACAGCGACCACGAAGACCAGGCCCTGAAGGCAGCACACAGGCTGAGAGCAACGGGATGCAGGGACGCAGGGACACAGGGACGCAGGGACGCAGCCCCGCCCCGCAGCGCCCCTGCCGCAGAGCCGTCCTCGTGGCTCTGACACCTGTCGCAAGCGCAGAACCCTTTCACGTTCCCAATGGAACAAAGTCCTACAGACAGGAAGTCTCGAGGCTGGAGCGGGGGCTGGGGCCCGGGTCTCAGCCTCCAGCGTGGGTGTGTCAGCCACTGAGGAGCCCAGCCTGACCGCAGGTGTGAGAGTGACGTGGGCCAGGCCACGTGGAGAGAGCCAACCCTGGCCCCCGGCAGGCTGAGTGGCACTTGATACGGTCAGGAGCTGAGGGGCCCACCGGGGGCAGCTGGGCAGGCCTGGAGGAACGCGCCATCAGAAGGCTGTGTGCCATCACTTCCAACGTCCACCACACCGCTGCTCGGTAAGACTCAGAACCCGACTCCAGCGACAGCAACAGCAACACTTCCGCGTCTCCTTCGGCCTGACGGTGCCCCTGAGTAACTACCGAAGCACTGAGGGCTGGCACGCTGGCATCGCACACAGACGGCGGCACCCTGGTAACGCACGCAGTCAGACGGCGGCGCCCTGGCAATGCACACAGTCAGACAGCATTGCGGAAGGACACCCGTGGGGGGGGGGGGGGACCCTGCTCCTTTTGTTTCAATGTCTTCGTTTTTCCCCCTTACAAGGTATTTTACTTTTACAATCTAGAACACTTTAAATTAAAAAAAAAAAAAAAACTTCTTAAAAAAAAAAAGAAAAGCACATTCCATTTTCAGATGCCCAAAGCTGCAGTGCCACTCGGACCGCACAGCAAGGCAGCCCAGGGGTCAAGCGACAGACACCCTCGTCCTTGTCGCCTACCGCGCAGAGTCCATGACAAGGACAAGCTTGGGGGAAGCGTCCTGAAATCGAGAACCTGCTTTATCGGCAAGCGCACTGTTGACGCAGTGAACTCGGCCTGCCTCCCACACGGCTGGGAAGCTGTCACCCCACCTGGAATCCCACGCGAGGAGCGCGCCAGGCTCGTCTCTGATGTGTGAAGAGACCACGCGCTGAGCACCAAGAAACGTAAGTTCCGCTGCGATGTGAACGGAACTCACGTCTTAGACCAGATTTGTGTCACAGGTAATACTTCATCTGCTACGCTGAGTGTAATCTGTATTTTAATAGTTTACTCAAGGTTTCCACAGTGCTTACAAAAAATTTATAAATTTATCCTCTCTGCCTTTCAAATAAATAAATATTTTTTTTGAGATTTATTTATTTATTTATTTGAAAGAGTTACACTGAGAGAGAAGGAAAGGCAGAGAGAGAGAGAGAGAGAGGTCTTCCATCTGCTGGTTCACTCCCCAAATGGCCTCAATAGCCAGGGCTGGGCCAAGCCAAAGCCAGGAGCCAGGAGCTCCTTCCAAGTCTCCCACAGGGGTACAGGAGCCTAAGGACTTGGGCCATCTTCTACTGATTTCCCAGGCCACAGCAGAGAGCTGGATCCGAAGTGGAGCGGCTGGGACTTGAACCGGTGCCCATAGGGGGTGTCGGCACTGCAGGCAGCAGCTTTACCTGCTACACCACAGCACTGGCCCCAATAAATCTTAAAGAAGGTGGGGGCAGCATGGCACAGCAGGTCAAGCCACTGCCTGGGATGCTGGCATCCCACCAGTTCGCCACTTCGAGTCCTGGCTGCTCCGCTTCCATGCTGGCTCCCTGCGAATGTGCCTGGGAACACAGTCGAAGTTGGCCCAACTACTTGAGAGAGCCAGATGGAGTTCCTGGCCCTTGGCTTCAGTCTGGCCATTATGGCCATTTGGGGAGCGAATCAGCAAATGGAAGATCACTCTCTCCTCCCCCAGAACTCTACCTTTAAAAGGAACAAAATCAGTTTTTGGGAAGCGACTTAGATACGCTGGACTTTTCTCTGAAGAAGCAGGCATCCATAGAATCAGTACCCGCACTCCAACCTCCAAGCAATGCAAGCGCTAGGGATGTGGGGGAGCTGCTCCCTGACACAGAAGCTTTGCCAACTAACACCTCCCTCATCCCACACAGAAAGGCAAGCCAGGCGCGCACGGTGGAGACGCCGGTGGGGACGCCTCCGGCGCCGAGGTGTCCCCACCGTGCGCACACACTGACCTCCGCTGACGTGCACCTCGTACAGGGAGTACTTGGGAGAGGACAGCATCCGCATGTCAGGCCGGAACTTCTCCGCCAGCGTCTCGATCACATCTTGAGTGGTAGCCGTACTGGAGACCCGAATGCATTTCGTCGCGAAGTTTCCAGCAGCTTTGTCTTGAAAATAAAATCTCATCACTCCATGGAACTCCAAATCCTGAAAGAAAACAAAATGACACATTGGAAAAACAACACTCCAAAAAGCTTCACTTTTCTAACAGGAAATCACGAAAAATGCTGCTCCACGCTTTTCACACATGTTTCCTTGTCGCCTCTGCCGGGACTTCCAGCCTTCAGTCTGCCTACTGACCGTGGACAAGTCACCTCCTGTCTTTCCTTCAAACCTTGTGCCGTGTGAACAGCAGCCAACGACACCTGACCGCAGGCCTCACCTGACGCCGCTGCGTAACCTGCGGTGCAGTGGGTGCTGTCCCTAAGCCCTGTCTCAAGACCCAGTCGCCAGCCGCGAGCTCCGAGGGCCTGCTCAGGCAGGCGGCTGCAGACCCGGAGCCACAGTTCAGATGTGCTGGGCTCCAAAGCCCAAGTCTGGTCCTCCAGGGTTCACAGCTGCTGAGACGCTAAAGCGAGAAACAAACGTCAGCCCTAATCCCACCCCGAATGCAAACACGCGGGAATTCCACAGGTGAATGGAACCGCAGCGAGTTTTCCACATAATGACCCAAAATTCAATGAGCGTAATTTAATTTGACTTGGAATCTGACCTTTAGAGAAAAGTCACAACAGAATTCCAACTAAGGATAATAACTCCATGTACGAGGATATTTCAAAGAATTCACAGAAAAATGAAACTAAAAGATACGTTTACGGGGCCACTGTCGTGGTACAGAGGGTCAAGCCACCATTTGCAAAGCCCACATCCGAGTGCAGGTTTGAGTCCTAGCCGCTCTGCTTCCAATGTATCCTCCTGCAATGCGCCCGGGAAAGCAACATAATGGCCCAAGTACTTTGGACCCTGGCCCTCACATGGGAGACCAGGATGGAGATCCAGGCTCCTGGCTGCTGCCTGCACCAGACCTGGCTACTGCAACATCTGTGAAGCAAACTGAGAAAGATCTCCTCCCTCCCTCTCTCTCTTGCTCTTTCAAATAAGTAAATACATCTTTTTTAAAAAGATAAGCTTATTATGGTGCCAAAAATTTGGAAATCCATGATTATGAAAGGATCTTCAAAAAGTTCATGGAAAATGTGTTAGGAAATCCTGTGAAAGAATGAATTTTTAAACAAATATTTACTGTGGAGGATGGCCCAAGTCCTTGGGCCCTGCACACCATGGGAGACCAGGAGAAGTACCTGGCTCCTGCCATCGGATCAGCGCGGTGCACCAGCCACGGCGGCTTTTTTTTAAGGATTCATTTATTTATTTAAAAGTAAGAGTTACAGAGAGGGAGGGAGACACAGGGCAAGAGAAAGATCCCCCATCCACTGGCTCACTCCCCAAGTGGCCACAATGGCCACGGCTGAGTCAGGCAGAGGCCAGGAGCCAGGAGCTTCATTCAGGTCTCCCACGCGGGTGGCAAGGGCCCAAGCTTTTGGGCCATCAGCAGGGACCTGGATGGGAAGTGGAGCAGCCGGGATTCGAACCAGGGCCGACAGGGGAGGAGGGGAGGAGGGGAGGAGGAGGGGGCGGAGGGGGGCGGAGGAGGGGAGGAGGGGAGGAGGAAGGGAGGAGGAGGAGGGGAGGAGGGAGGAGGGGGAGGAGGGGAGGAGGAGGGGAGGGGAGGAGGGAGGAGGAGGGGGGAGGAGGGGGGAGGAGGAAGAAGGAGCAGGGAGAAGGAGGGGAGGAGGAGGGGAGGAGGGGGAGGAGGAGGGAGGGAGAGGGGAGGGAGGGGGAGGAGGAGGGGAGGAGGAGAGGACTGTGCCAGCACCGGCACTACCTGTGTCCACAGATTGCCGCCCCAGACAAGAACAAGGAGGCGCTCACTAACGGGTCCGGCTGCTCACAGGAAGTACCCAACGCAGAGGCTGGGGGGGGTCAGGAGAACAGCCACAGCCACCGCCCTGCAGCCTCCACCCAGCCTGAACACGACTGCCTCTGACTCGATGTGGTTCGCACTGCGTAAGCACTAACTACTGACTTAGGCTGCCATCACAGAATGTATTAATATTCTGTTTTTATTATCCTGCCAATCACAGGTCTGGCTGGTGTGCCCAGGTCTACAGACTGACCAAAGCAGTGTGCAGCGCCCAGACTCACAACAATGATCATCTCTACAGCTCGCTCAGTGCCCCTCTGCACTAGACACTGAGTTTTGTGGTTAATTCCCCAGGCTAAGAGATGGCTCCTACTATCATCACCACCACACGGGAACGCAGGAGGGGGCGCCGGCCGCTGGCGCGCTCACAGTCACACAGTCACACGGCCTGCCCAGAGCAGGGCCGAGCTGCAGCCAGACACGCTGCAGCAGGCGCCGTGCCACAGGGGTGACACGCACGGTTCTCTCTGAACCACGACAGCTCCAGGAGCCGCTGAGAAGAAAGGAGTGAGTGGATGAAGGGGAGAGGGGCTAGAGGGCAACAGGGGGCGGCTGCAATGGCCCCCAGCCCAGGGCCACAAGTCAGCCCAGCAGCTGAGCTCAACACCCATGCAAATTCAGTTTTCTCAATTACAAAACCAAAATGGTAAAGCCTGTTCTAAGGAACCAACAAGACATCCAGAACACAGGCGAGTGATCCCAGTCACAAGCTCCCTCCTTCCGGCCTCCAGACTGGCGCTGGGCTTCCCGGAGACAAGGTCCCCTCCGCACCCAACAGGATGATTTGCACACAACCATAAAAGGTAAATTTGAGTCAAAAACACAACAGGATTCACGTCTTCCAAGCTGTGGTCATCCATTCTCAACTGAAGAGAACTCTGGAAAACAAAACTTCAAATTAGTAATAAACAGCCATAAACTCTCAGGGAAGGGCCATTATGCCCTCTTTGAAAGATCTATGTATTTATTATCTGAAAGGCAGAGTTACAGAGAGGCAGAGGCAGAGAGAGAGAGAGAGAGAGGTCTTCCATCTGCCGGTTCACTCCCCAGATGGCTGTAACAGCCGGAGCCTCCTCTGGGTCTCCCAGGTGAGTGCCGGGGCCCAAGGGCTTGGGCCATCTTCTTTTCCTTTCCCAGGCCACAGCAGGGAGCTGGAGTGGGATGCCCGCACTGCAGGAGGCGGCTTCACCCACAGAGCAGGCCCCAGGGCTATCATTCTAGGAAGTTGCAAACAAATTACAATTAAAAAAAAGGCACGCAGCCTCCCCCTCAGCATTGAGTGTAAATTCTCCACCACAGGAAAGGCTCCTGAGACGCCGCCACTACCCGCAGGCAGCGATGCCTCTAAGCCTGCGCGGCGCGAGGTGCCTGCAGGACTGGCCGGCACGTCCAGGAGCCGGGCGGCTCGCCAGGGTTACAGCAGGAGTGACGCGCCGCGCTGTGCCCTCGCTGCACACAGCGTCCTTCCGCTCGGTGGACCCCATGGCAATGCCCACCCCTTCCCCGGCCGTGGGGTGTGCCGGTGATGGGGGCACCACTGCAGGGCACGGTCTCGGCCCCTCTGCGGTCCTGAGGCCGCACCGCAGGCCGGCCATCGGCACATCGGGAGCACCATGGCAGCGCCATGCCCCCCCCACGTGCCCGGCAGGGGAGCTCCTTGCCCCCAGCTTCCGGAGCGCAGGTCTCCCGTCAGTCTCCGCCGCCACACGGCTGCACTCTCACGCGGCCCAACGTCCCTTCAGGGTGGGCTCCCCACGTGCGGAGGTGAGTGAGCCCCTCGGGGAAGGCCGTGCCCACCTTCCCACACTCCGTCTGCTCTTCCAGGGCGAGGCTGGGAGGGCAGTGCTGGGGCGAGCGGGGTGGAGCTGCCGCCTGGGCACCGCCATCCCCCGGGAGTGCCGCCTGCGCCCTGGCTGCGCCACTCCCAGCCCAGCGCCCCGCTACCCGCCCGGGTGCGTTCCCACAGGAAGGAGCAGCCCGATGGCCGCCCGCTGCCACCTCCTCTGCCGTCTGCACAGGGCTCCTCTCAGAGACACCGGCGCCAGCGCTGCCCTTCCGCAAGGGCTCTCCCCGCGGACAGGAACCCAGCTGCTCTGGGAAACGCTCACCGACCTCCCTATCAGCCCTCCCCAAAGAAACAGTCCCGCCAAGGACTACCGCAACGGAAAGGGAAAGACTGCGTTAGGGTTAGTCTAATGACAGCTGCAAAACACAAGTCTTGTCATGCTTCTGAGGGAAGACTACGATGGGGGCCTGCGCTGCGACGCGCTGCGTTAAAGCCCCAGCCCGCAGCGCTGCATCCCCCATGGGCGCCGCAGGGTCCCGGCTGCTCCACTTCCCATCCTGCTCTGCTGTGGCCGGGAGAGCAGCGGAAGACGGCCCGAGTGCTTGGGCCCTGCACCCGCAGGGGAGACCCTAAAGCAGCTCCTGGCTCCTGGCTTTGGATTGGCGCAGCCCCAGCCATTGCAGCCGTCTGGGGAGTGAACCAGTGGATGGAAGACCTCTCTCTCTCTGGCTCTACCTCTCTCTGTAGCTCTCTTTCAAATAAACAAAATATTAAAAAAAAAAAGGGAGAGAAAGAATACGATGGTGGAGACGGACAGGGAGGGAAGGGAAAGGTCACCTTGCGGGATCCCTAAAGAGTCAAGCAGGCGCTAAAGGGTTCGATAGTTTCCTCGCTGCCTCCGACCGACACCAGCTCCCTAGCGGAGAGACTCCTCACCACGTGGCCTCCTTCTCAAAGTGACAGGAACCTGCAGCCTCCTTCTGCTAAAGCTCATCAGTCAGGACCGCTCACTCCAAAACTAACAGGTCGACCACACCCCCTTCTTCCCTGTCTGACAGATGGGAAGACCACACCCCCTTCTTCCCTGACAGATGGGAAGACCACACCCCCTTCTTCCCTGACAGATGGGAAGACCACACCCCCTTCTTCCCTGTCTGACAGATGGGAAGACCACGTCACAGCAGAAACAGTGCGAGCCTCAGACACGGCACCATCACCCAGATCCACGGAGGGCGCAGCAGCTGACAGGACTGTCACACACACACACACACACACACACCCCCATACAGGGAGCAGCAGCTGACAGGACTGTCTCACACACACACACACACACACACCCATACAGGGAGCAGCAGCTGACAGGCTGTCACACACACA